ATCTTTATAGTTGTCATTTATTGCTAGAAGAAGGGTATTTATATGTGTGATATATATATATATATATATATATATATATATTTTTTTTTTTTATACTATTTTTCATTTTTTGACAACATTGGAGAGATTTCCCTTCACTTCCAGAACCAATGTCCCCATTGGAAGATTTCCCCTCCATTACTTTTTTTTGGTGACAACCCAAAATTTGGCATTTTCTTTTACTTTCACTTTCAATAATGGTAAACAAGACAGAGAGGGTGAATCTTCCTAACGGGGACACAGATGGCAATAAAAACCTGACAGGGGGTCTAATCCATCTCCACTTTATCCAAAACAGAAAAAAAAAGTTTTGTCTTTAGTTATACTTTATGTAAATGGACCCCAATTATTTTGTGTTTTTCCCATATTTAATTTCCTTTGAATTGCTGTTAAGAAATTGATCCAAAAATGTAGAGACCACTCCAAATTGTCTATAATATTCTTAAATCCTTAAAGCAGAAATCTGGGGAAAAGAATTTTTGGTTCATGCACTGAGGCTGTGTCGGCACTGCGCAGGCCAAATGCTCGTTTTTATTCTAGGGGAGAGGACACTGAAGATGTAATCATCTGACCCTGTCACAGCCCCACTGCATGGTGTAAAAAAAAAAAAATGACTGTAGTTCGTGCCTGGACTTATTTAACGCATGCATTTATTTATTTCCTTTACTGAATTGATTAACACCGTTTTATTAGTTATTTTACCTCCATGTTTTTTTTTTTTGGTTTTGTGCGGTAAATAACTCATAAGGTGATAGTGAATTGACGTTTTCAGTATCTCATGAGATAATTGGAGAAAATGTGTCACATGATTCAATTGTCTCATGAGATATTCTTTAGTGAATTGTGGCCACAGAATGGTAAGGATTATATAATGTAAATCCTTGTGTATAAGACTGAAGTGGTTAGAGTATGTTATATACATCCCAGTGTGCAGAGTGCAGTGAACGAGAGTATGTATTGTACACCACAGAGTACTGAGTACAAGTCAGAGCTTTGGCTGTACTTCTCCTTTAAATGCCTCCTTCCTTAAGCAACACTCCAAAAAGTAACCATCCACTGTTTACCTCTGCACACCACTGTACCTACCATCCACATCTCAACTCTGCACTCAGCATTTACATCCACAGCTCACCTTTGCATCTCCTGTCCATAACTCACCTCATCACCCCCCTTCACATCTTGTCTCTGCCGACTTCTACATCACATTTCTGCATTCCATGTTTACAGTTCACCCTGCTTTCACCTTTACACTCCAGCTCCATCCACAGCTCTCAGCTTGCCACCCAGTCTCCATCCTCAACTTTTACCTTGGCACCTAGTCCCCACCCCATCCACAGCTCTCACCTCTGCACTTAGTACTCCCCCCCCCCCCCCACTTCCATCCACTGCTCTCAACCCACTGCATCTAGCACCCCCATCCACAGCTCTCACCTTTCTGCACCTAGAATACCCCTCCCCCCATCCACAGCTCTCACCCCTCTGCACCTCGAATACCCTCCCTATCCACAGCTCTCACCCCTCTGCACCTCGAATACCCTCCCTATCCACAGTCACCACTAGGCACCTAGAATACCCTCCCCATCCACAGCACTTTCATGCAACTTGAGGGCCACAGACTTCAATGTAAACCCTCCAAAGTCATATAAAAGTTGCACCTGAATGTTATACATGCCACTTGTGTGCGATTTTGTGCAGCTCAAGCAATCATCCTTGGTCAAAGCCAAAGTCGCACTCAACCAAAGTTCCGTCAAAGTTGCATTAAAGCAATTCTAATGATTAATTTTTTGTTTCTTGTGGAAATAACAAACATACTGTACTTACCTGCTGTGTGCAGTGGTTTTCCACAGAGGAGCCCGGATCCTCCTCTACTTGGGTCCTCCGCAAGCTCTCCTGGCCCTTCGCTGCCAGGTGTCCCCAGAGCAAGCTGCTTGCTATGGGGGCACCCACTGCTCCGTGTGACCATTCACACACAGAGTCCATGGCATGGCCCTGCTCCCTCTCTCTCCTCGCTGGCTGGCTGTGATTGACAGCAGCAGGAGCCAATGGCTCCCACTTGCTGTCTCAGCCAAGGAGGCAGAGACTCAGGACGACCGTATTTAAATCGGAGGTGATATTAGGAATGTCGGGGGCTTTTAAAAATAAGAGACTTTATGGCGACTTAACATTGTGGTGTTTATCTCCTCCCTTCCCTGCCTCTCTCCAGCACCGCACCTGGGGACTAGCAGGGAGGGGAGAGACCTTGCAGTGTAATGAACAATTGGCTGCTTGTCAGGAAAGGGTGGGTCAGGGCTTATACTTTATCTGAAAACAGAGACCCTAGAGAATAAAATAGTGGTAGTTCCAATTGTTTATGTTGCATGATTTTACCGCAAAATTTTAGTACAAAATACAAGCAAGTTAATTTTAGGGCACAAAAAAAGCAATAAATTACCCTATTTTTTTGTAAAATATAAGAGATGAGGTTGCAGCAAGTAAATAGATATCCAAGGATAAGTTCGCCTTTGGAACATGTAAACGTTCCACCCGTTGTTAGGGTGAAACATTTAACATGTTCCCATAGCCTGAGCCGTGCCTGCCACCCCCCCCCCCCCCCCCGACAGGTAGTACGGGGAGAAGTTTCCCCATACTATCTGTCAGTTTTGAAAATAGCATGGCCGTGCGGGGCTCTGCCTACGAGGCCGCATCACTCATTCACAGTGTTCTGTGAATGAGTGCCTACAAGTCCCAGCAGCCTTAGCGGCTGTTAGCTTGTAATTTTTCAGTGAACTACCATGGCACTGTGGAGCGCTGTGGTAGTTCTTTGCTTCCTGTCAGTATATCTGCTTGCTCGCACATCCCGTACGGCTAGCAGATATTCTGACAGTTCTGCAGGAGACCTGCATGGCATCAGCAATCTACTGATCGCTGTGCAATTCTTTCCAGGTTCCAATGGACAAAAATAATAAATGCACATTTTTATTTTTTTTTTACCTGCAAAAAAATGTGCATTTATTATTTTTGTCCAAAAGGTAAACATATCCTTTAAGGTACCATAGTTTGTTGCCATTTCACAGGCGTGAACAGTTTTAAATCTTGACATGTTTAGTATCTATTTACTCAACGCAGTATCCTCTTTTTTTTTTTATATTTTACCAAAAATTGGATATTTGTTTTTGTGTATGCTAAAATTGTTAAAGTATTTTTTTACCTACAGATTTGTGTGTGTGATAAATGGCTGCGCAAATATCGTGTGAGAAAAATTTGTAACAGCCACCATTTTCTTTTCGGGACTTTTTGCTTTAAAAAAATATATAATGTTTGGGGGTTCTAATTTTTTATTTTTTTTTTGCCTAAAATAAAAAAAAAATGCTGATTTTTTTTTTTTTTACCATGTATTTACGAAATGTTAATATTGCCCCGGACGGCGAGTGTATCACCTGAGGTTAGTCACTTCACTGGTTGTATGTAAACCAGGGCTTTAACCCCTGGTTCACATATCCGCTTTCCTGCGGGCCACGTTTTACGCGGGCACAAGAGCCCATTCATTTGAATGGACTCCCAGGCCCCAGGGACACAGGGAAGAAATCACTGCACTTCTTCTGAAAACACAGCCCGCACGAGAACCTCGGTTCCCAATGCAGTTGTGATTTCCAGTGCGGGAGGCGTGCCATTAGAATTAATGGCACCCGCCTGTGGGTCCGCATTCTTCTGTGTGGGTGGATGTTTGTGCGGTTCCGCAGCTGCACCACCCTCACATATGTAAACCTAGCCTAAGGCTTGTGCAAAGGTGTGGCAAGGGGTCGTTAGGGTGTCTTTAATAGCAGGTAGTACTGTGGTTTTATCCCCCGCAGTCATTCACACCTGAATAAGGGCAAGCAGCTGTTCAGGGCTATGATGCTTTGCTTCATGGTCACAAAAACATCAAATAGTATGACACACTTGGTATTTGAAAGGAAATGTACCCAACCGTGTGCAATGGGTCGACATTTTCAGGATAAATAGGTGGCATGGAGGTAGCACATTGCCTCCTCACCGCCTATCAAAGGCTTCTGAAAAGCAATCTACTGCATATTGCTTTTCACAGGGGCACCAAGGGCTGCCATATGTGAGAATAAGCCCTTCTTTCCTTGAATTCTGCTACACACATTCTCTGTGTCCTGTGATGCCCTGTACACATTACTGTGCCACACATTACAAAGAGCCTGCATTCTGAACTGCAAAGGTACGGAGGAGTTTCAGGAGGTACAATAGGGATGTCCAATTCCTATCGCCCGACGCCTGGGACATGTAGTTCTGGGCGTCAGGCAGACAAAAAATTTTTTTTTTTTTCTGCCTTTAGCCCTGCTGCGGGTAAGCAGCAGGCTCACCTGTCAGGTGGAAGCATTTGGGTGGCAGCGCTGACAGTGCCAACCTCCCCTTCCCGCATTACATTCAGTGGAGCACAGGGGAGACATGCAGGGTCTTTTACACCCTGAATGCCTCAATAAAGAGAACCTGTCACAAAAAATCATCACATAGAGAACAAAGTTTTTTTTTTTTTTTTTTAATAAATTGTAAAAAAATGAAAGTTACACCCAAGCACATACCATTCCCCCCCAAAAAAATTGAGGCACCCCCACATATACGCAAGTACAAACGTAAAAAACACGCTGGGGCGCCAACACATGAAAACGTTGATAGCGATACACATGTCACATATCGCCGTGCACGCCGGAATGATAGCAATAATTCTAGCACCAGACCTCCTCCATAACGCTAAACTTATGACCTATAAGGGGCTTTAAACATGTCGAGGAATGCTCCTAAATTGGGCTTCAACCCTAGAGTGGAGATACAGTCTGCACAAGCAGAAAAAAAGTTGTCCTTTTTTTTTCTGCACAGTGCGACCACAGATCAGGATGGGAGCAAGTGCACTTGGTCCCCTGAGGCATGTATCAGACTTGTGGACTGCCAGTAACAATTCTATGTATTTCTGAAAACAGATCGTGTGAAGGGCGCTGGAGGCAACAATATGAGAGACCGGGCAACAATCAAGCGTTTAAATATGTATCGCCAGAAAGAACGGAGGTAAGTTTACTTCATCATATTCTTATGTAATGCTCTCTTGGAAACTTATATTCAAAGTACCTTTTTATCTAGCCTTTTCTAAAGGCAACCAATATCTTCGCCTTATTATAAGACAGCTATATTTGTGTCTACACAATGTTATTTTTATTTTGTTTGTCACTTTCTCTTCATTTCTTGATAGATTTTCTCTATGTACCAGCTATGACAGCAAATCAAGAGTTTTGGCACTGTCACTACCCCTTTGTGTATTATCTGTCCCTAGGGTCGTGTGATTTTTTTTTTTTTTTTTTTCCTTCTGATTTCTTGATTATGGAAAACTTGTTGGTTAGACCTAGAGGATGTTGCAGCATGGTGTTATTTATACTGGGCTTACTTTAAACTGCTGTGTCTTAAAGGGGATTACTGGGAACAGGGTTGGACTGACCATTTTGGAACTCTCGGGCACTGCCCGAGGGCCCGGGGTCAGTAGGGGACCCCATGAGATGCCCCTGGTACCTTTCATAGGCTTTTGTGGGTGTGATTTGAGTGTGGGCGAGGACACAGGGGCCCCATGATCCCCTATTGCCCGGGGGCCCCATGAGTTGTCAGTCCGCCCCTGACTGGGAATAATTTGCCAAAGAACTTTGATCCAGCAGGACCCAAAGCAGCAGGTGTTTGTACATGTGGGCTTTGAAATGCCAGGCAGAGTTTGGTCCATTTTTCACTGGTGTTCTAGTTGAGTGGGCATCTGCCTTGTATTCTCAGGTGGGGTATTGCTTTTTACATGGCAATCAAGAGATTTCAATGCCGCTGTAGGGGAATTGGCAGAAAATGTATTAATGCAGTACATTTATTCAGAGTAATCCCATTATGGAGGGGGATTTAAAATCTCTACCTAATGTTTGCTACATGTGCAAGACTTGCATTGTCAGGCAGAATTTTGTGTTGATTTAAAGTGTTACTAAAGGATGCTTTTGTGTTAATAGAAAAGAAAAAAAAAATTTATACTTGCCTGCTCTGTGCAACGGTACTACTCAGAGCGGCCCCGTTCCTCCTCCTCTTGCATCCCCCGCCAGCAATCTTGGCTGCTCCTCTTCTTAGTGTGTACCTATAGCAAGCCGTTTGCTATGGGGGCACTCTATGTCTGCTCACTTCCGAGCTGTGTGTCTATGCAGTTGCTCTCCATAGACACACACAGCGGGACTTAGCCCCGCCACCCACTTCCTCCTCACTGCGGATGATTGAGAGCAGCAAACCAATGGCTCCTGCTGCTGCTGGAGTGCTGTGGGAATAGGAAGAGAGGGGAGTAGAGATGCAGCTGTGCACAGCCATGGATCTCTTCTCCCCTCTCTTCCCCTTCACACAAGAAAGGGGGAGGACAGAGAAATATAAACTTTTTTTTTTTTTATCTTGATGCAAGGAATGCATTAAGGTAAAAAAAAAAAACTTTTGAGCTTTGGTATCATTTTTTGAGGGTAGTGGCATGAACAATTAATGTTTACAGCCAGGAGAGAAATTGTGTAGGTTGCTAGTGTTGACCTTTCCTTATGAGAATGTTGGTTTATTAGCTGTCTGTTGCTGTGTTGGCTTTAGTCTTTTTTTCCATTTGATTAAAAGAAAAGCTGTAGTTCTTTTTAATTACTGGATATACCATAGAAACAGTATAATCTGTTTATGAACATTGGTTTGGCTCTCACTTCAGGAACAACCGTGGGAAAGTAATCAAGCCTCTACAATATCAGTCTTCAGTCGCATCTGGCACAGTGGCTCGAGTAGAGCCCAACATCAAATGGTTTGGTAAGTTTTTCATTGTAAGTCACTTAGTGCCTTCTTTTATTGTGGTTGGAGATTTATTTTGTCTTTTTTTTATCTTTTGTTCATTAGAGATATTTTATTCTTTTTTTTTTTTTTTTTTTTTTAATCAGGAAATACCCGTGTGATTAAGCAATCATCTTTGCAAAACTTCCAGGAAGAGATGGAGGCTGTAATGAAAGATCCATATAAGGTGGTGATGAAACAGAGCAAACTACCAATGTCCCTATTGTATGATCGAAAGAAACCTCATGTAAGTCATTAAGCAGTTAAAGGAAAAAAAAATATTTTTGTGATATAAATGCCTTACTTCCAGCACCCCTTCACCATTACAACCTGTAGTGTGCCTAGGAGGATATATGGAAAGCATGCAGGCTGAGGTACCACTAGGAGCTGAACAGTGTTTAACACTGGGCACTCTTCAGACATCCTTCCTTTAAGCAGTTTAACCACTTGCCGACCGCGCATAGCCGAATGATGGCTGCACCGCGGCCGGCTAGTTCTGGGTGGACGTCATATGACGTCCTCCCAGAACGCGCTCTCCTGCGCGCCCCAGGGGGCGCGCACCCGGCGATCTCCGTGATCGCTGTGTCCTACGGACACAGCTGATCACGAGATGTGGTGAAAGGCCGATCCCACCGGCCTTTTACCACGTGATCAGCGGTGTCCAATGACACGCTGATCACAGGAAAATGCAAGTGCCGGTTCTCGGCTGCACTTTCCTCACGCTGTCAGATCGTGAGGAAAGTACTGCCGAGAACCGGCAGTTGTCAGAGCGGGGATCGGCACCGATCATCAGGGCACTGATGATCAGTGCCCTGATGATCGGTGCCCAGCAGTGACCCCCGCAAGTTCCTCCCAGCAGTGCGCCCACTAGCCCGCCCACCCATGCCCAGCAGTGCCCCCACCTGTGCCCAGCAGTGCCCCCACCTGTGCCCCCACCTGTGCCACTCTGCAGTGCCACCTACCTGTGCCCAGAAGTGCCACCTACATGTGCCAGCAGTGCCACCCACCTGTGCCCACCCACCTGTGCCCACCAGTGCCACCCACCTGTGCCCACCAGTGCCACCCACCTGTGCCCACCCACCAGTGGTGCCCACCAGTGCCGCCCACCAGTGCAGCCCAGCAGTGCTGCCAGTCAGTGCCACCAGTCAGTGCCCAGGGGTTGTGCCAGTCAGTGCCGCCAGTCAGTGCCCAGAAGTGATGCCAGTCAGTGCCGTCTATCAGTACCCATAATCAGTGTCACCTATTAGTGCCGCCTATCAGTGCTGCATATCAGTGCCACCTATCCGTGACCCCTAATTAGTGCTGTCTATCAGTGCCGCCTATCCGTGCCACCTCATTAGTACTGCCTATCAGTGCCCATCAGTGCCGCCTATCAGTGCCCATCAGTGCCGCCTATCAGTGCCCATCAGTGCCGCCTCATCAACGCAAATCAGTGAAGAAGAAAAAATACCTGTTTGAAAAATTTTATAAAAGAAACAAATAAACTTTTTTTTTTTTTTCAAATTTTTTGCACTTTTTTTAATTTATAGCGCAAAAAGTAAAGCGCCCAGTGGCGATTAAATACCACCAAAAGAAAGCTCTATTTGTGAGAAAAAAATGATCAAAATTTCATATGGGTACAATGTTGCATGACGGCGCAATTGTCAATCAAAGTGCGGCAGCGCTGAAAGCTGAAAGCTGGCCTGGTAAGGAAGGGGGTATAAGTGCCTGGTAGGCAAGGGGTTAAGGATCAAATGTTTGCTTGTTTTCCTACTTGATGTGGCAACATTAGTAATGGAAAGTACATAAGCAGAAAGGCACTATTGTACTTACAGAAAATACTATCTTCAATTAGGGCTCAATTACACTTGCGGTTCAGAGTGGTTAAAACATGTGTGGTTGAGCCGCATTCTTGCAACCTTCCCTTAAGCTGCAAACGCTGGGAATATACATATGCTACAGCAAAAAGGATCCGCCCCTCCCGTCATGTTCATTGAGTGGTACCGCCATTGAATGCAACCTATTCAAGCAGTGGGTTGGCATTTTGAGGGTTAGAACAGACGGTGAGCTGGTGACCTATCGCCTCCTCATGACCTGTCAGACTGCTCTGAAATCGATCCACCATGGATCACTTTTCAAAGGTGCAACAATACCAGCCTTAAGTTTAATAGTAGCTTTAGAGTGCCTCCCTCTTTTCCTAAGGTAATGAAGTTCTTTAAAGGACACACATTCCAGGCTGCTGGCAGTGGACATCAGTTGAAAAGGGTATGGTTTCATCTGAAATGTCAGAAAAAATGTGTAATTTGTAATATGACAAACTATGGGACAAAAACTGCTGGAAGGAGTGTTTTTTTTTTTTTTTTTTTGTTCATGCACCATTAGCTTTTTCTACTTTGAGCTATGAAATATGTCGAATGTGTCTAAAATATAGCCATTGCCTGCTCAGTTTTATTACTTTATGCTAATTAAACTGTCTCCAGAGCAAATGATTTTACTTTCCAAAAAGGAAACCTCTTCTGGAACTGCACATTCAAGCTTAGCAACTTGACTTTCTGCTTAGGTTTGGTTTTATAACCAAAGACAGCATATGTTTTCAGATTTATTAGACAAGAATATTATTATTATACTGTCTAATAATATGACATAACCCTGTTCTCAAGCTGGGAACTTTCATCTTGTTTCAAATATTCAGAACCTCTTCACATTCATCACTCATTTTTTAGGAACATAAAGTTCTGTTATGCATGCACGTTTAAAGCAATGTTTTATGTTTTTTTTTTCCCATTAGCCTAATGCACATGTGTTTTATTAAATATAAAAGGGAAATGTTATCGGAGTATAACGCTACACAGAAACATAGGCTGCAAAACTTTCTTCCAGAGAACGTGGGTGTTATGTTTGGAGAATAAATTAGCACATGTGTTGTATCTAATTAGAGATATCATACCTGTGGCTCTCTATATTCTATAGATTAATCACAGTGTTTTGTTTTTTTATTGGCTTCTGCCGTTTCTACTGAACATTTGTTTCATGGGAGTACCCTGGCATTGTAGAATTACCATGCTGGCCCAGAAAGTGTGTGAAATTGGCCTTGGTTTTCCCTAATGTTTTTGTTTCATCATATTTTTTTGGAAACTATCTTCAAAGAACTGAAGACGAACTCTGAAGGCATAGTCTGAGGCACAAATGTCCCAACGCTTTCCAAAAGCACAGTGTGTAAGCACACTTCAAGAAAACTGCATGCTTCTGGGGTTTGATAAGCTTTTTGTTTCTTGCTTAAGGCGAAGTTCCACTTAAAGCAGAAGCTCTTTAAAAGGTGCCACCCCCTAAAAGGTGCCAAATATGGCAGTGGAGGGGGGGAGGAGGCATATAAGCGGAGCTACTGCTTTTGAGGGGGGGAGCAGGTACCTGGTTTTGACAGGTACCCGCTCTGACTTCCGGCTCAGTTCACTGGCCTCCTCCTTGCTCTCGCAGTCTCCTGGGAACTTTCACAGGTCCCAGGAGACTGCCAGACCAATCGGGAGGCGTGACTCATGCGCAATGGGCGCCAGGCTGAGAAGCCACAGGCTTCACAGTAGAGATGCTGGCGCTGTGGAGGACAGATGGAGAGAAGGGACGGAGTACATCGCTGTACCCCAGGACAGGTAAGTGTGTGTTTTATTAAAAGTCAGCAGCTACAGTTTTTGTAGCTGCTGACTTTTAATAAACATAAAACGGCTGCAACTCCACTTTAAATACAGTGGGTAAAGAAAAGAACTGCCTCCTTTAAAATAATGACCACACAATGGTTGAAGGAAAAAAAGGTGAATGTGCTTGCATGGCCTAGTCAAAGTCCAGACTTAAACCTTGTTGAAAATCTGTGGAATGACTTGAAGACTGCAATTCAAAATCGTTCGCCATTAAGTTTAACGGAACTTTAGCAATTCTGCAAAGAAACATTGCAAAGTCTAAAAGTGCAAAGTTAGTAAAGACATATGCCAACAGACTAAAGACTGTCATTAAAGCAAAAGATGGTTCAACAAAATACTACAAGGGGGTGGTCCTTTTTCTGATTCGGTGATTCTGTTTTGTTTTGTTTTTCCCCTAGCATTTTGGTGTTCTATCTTTCACTTGGATGTTATAAGTTGCACTTAGTAAATACAGCTGGATAAAGCAAAAACTGCCTGTCTTCATTTTAGGCTGCAATGCAACAAAATGTTTGAAAATTGCATTCATGGATTAGGTGGATTGCTTCTAACCAGAGTATTAAACAAAAAAAAAAACCCCACAACCATTTTAATATAATTACATTATTCCTAGTTATCTCATAGGACTAGAGAACCCCACCCCTCTGTTATGGGGGGGGGGGTGTATGTTGCCCTAATACAGTAGTGTGGGTGAGCATTGTCACCTTAGGACAGGAAGTGTGTTACTTCAGACCGTGCCACTGCTGTGCTATATCAATCATCAGACAACCTTGCAGGAAGCTAATTTGATCATCTCCTGGGTGGAGAAATGTCCAGAAATTTCTGCTGTTCACATCTTGCCACTGAACGATTGGAAGGTGAATTTACCTCAGTCGTCACTGCTTGGACCAGGGCGAATTGTCTTTAAATCTGACATCTTCAATTTCCTATGTCAGAATTTGAGGGACTCCAGATATCAATATCCTGGTATTCAGGTTCAACAACGTTACTCTTATTTGTGGCTAGAACAAGGATCCTCTAGCACTGGCATTGTTTATTATGGTAATTTTCTGGATTTAGTTCAGGTTACTGTATGCCTTCCGGCTGTGGATTCTTCCTCCACTGCTGCGCAAAAGAGAAGAAATCGGTAATGCTGTCTCAAGGCCCTCTGCTCCATCCTGCTTTTCAGTGACTGCCTTTATAGGCATGGCTGATAAAATCCAGGTATTGAGGGACGGGTGCACAGTGCCTTGAAAAGAATTCACACCCCTTGAAATTTTCCACGTTTTGTCATGTTACAGCCAAAAACATAAATGTATTTTATTGAGATTTTATGTGATAGACCAATACAAAGTGGCACACAATTGTGAAGTGTAAGGAGAATAATGAATGGTTTTCACAATTTTTTACAAGTATCTGAAAAGTGTGACCTGCATTTTTATTCAGCCCTCTGAGTCAATAATTTGTAGATCCATCTTTTGCTGCAGTTACAGATGCAAAAGATTTCCTGACTTTTCCTGATTTTTGGGTATGTGTCTACCAGCTTTGCACATCTAGAGTGAATTTTTTGCCCATTCTTTGCAAAATAGCTCAATCTCTGTCAGATTGGTTGGAGAGCAAATGTGAGCAGCAATTTTCAAGTCTTGCCACAGATTCTCAATTGGATTAAGGTCTGGACTTTGACTGGGCTATTCTAACACATGAATATGCTTTGATCTAAACAATTCTATTGTAGCTCTGGCTGTATGTTTAGGGTCCTTCTGCTGGAAAGTAAACCTCTTCCCCATTCTCAAGCCTTTTGCAGACTCTAACAGGTTTTCTTCTAAGATTGCCCTGTATTTAGCTCCATCCATCTTCCCATCAACTCTGACCAGCTTCCCTGTCCCCGCTGAAGAAAAGCATCCCCACAACATGATGCTGCCACCACTATGTTTCACGGTGGGGATGCTGTGTTAAGGGTGATGTGCAGTGTTTGTTTTCCACCACACAAAGCCTTTTTGCTTTTAGGTCAAAAAGTTCAATTTTGGTCTCATCTGACCAGAGCACCTTCTTCCACATGTTTGCTGTGTCCCCCACATGGTTTCTCGCAAACTGCAAACATGACTTCTTATGGCTTTCTTTCAACAATGGCTTTCTTCTTGCCCCTCTTCCATAAAGGCCAGATTTGTTGAGTGCACGACTAATAGTTGTCCTGTGGACAGATTCTCCCACCTGAGCTGTGGATCTCTGTAGCTCCTCTAGACTTACCATGGGCCTCTTGGCTGCTTCTTTGATAAACTGTCTGAGATGTTCAAACTTGTGATATTTTTTATTACCTAACCCTGCTTTACAATTATCCACAACTTTATCCCTGACCTGTCTGATGTGTTTCCTTGGACTTCATGATGCTGTTTGTCACTAATGTTCTCTAACAAACCTAATGAGGTCTTCACAGAACAGCTGTATTTATACTGAAATTAAATTACACACAGATGGACTCTTACTAATTAGGTGACTTCTGAAGGCAATTGGTTCCACTAGATTTTAGTTAGGGGTATCAGAATAAAGGGGGCTGAATACAAATGCATTCCACACTTTTCAAATATTTATTTTGTAAAAAACTTTGAAAACCATTTCTTTTCCTTCCACTTCACAATTATGTGCCACTATCGCATAAAATACAGCTATGTTTTTGGTTGTAACATGACAAAATGTGGAAAATTTCAAGGAGTATGAATACTTTTTCAAGGCACTGTATCTGGCTCAGTCATTCTCACATTCCCAAAATCTGAAAAGCCACTTAAAGAAAAATCTACTACCGTACTTGGAAATAGTTTTTCATATGGTGTAAACGCAGGTGTTTCAACCCCAGAGATTACATAGTACCTTGCATTCTGGACTTCCTACAATTGGGACTTGAATAGAAATTGGCTTCAGATATTCTTTAAGGAATAGGTCTCGAGTTTGTCTATTCCATTCCAGAATCCTTTGACTTCACTTGTTAAAACCTTTATTCAAGTTGTCTTGTGGATCATTTTCATATAATAGCACCTGTGCTTTCTTGGGATCTCTCTTGTTCTTTGCCCTGCAGAAACCATCATTTTGAACCTGTTACGGAACTCCCCTTAGGTGATCTTGCCTGCAAAGTGGCCTTCTTCATGGCTATCATATCTGTCGGACACATTTCAGAGTTAGGGATACTCTTGTAAGGAGCTCTAACTGTTTCACCACAAGGATAATATGGTCTTGTGTCCAAGGTCCTTCTTTCTTCTAGCTAAAGGTGGTATAAGCCTGTCAGTGAAGACATTGTCCTTTCTTCCTTCCTTGTGCCCTGCTCCTAACCATCCCAAACAAATTGGTCTCCATTGTCTGTCTGGCCATAATCAGAGCTATCTGAAAGTCACAGCCTCTATCCTTAGACAAAACTTGTCCATTTTTAACAGGGTCTCGAAGGGGACACCCTGCTTCCAAGTCCACTATTGCTAGACAAATAAAACAATTCAATGTGTAGGAGATTACATGCAAGGTACCTTCAGTACCCTTATATGCTCCCTTCACCAGATCAGTGTGAGTTTCCTAAGCATTCTGACATCAAGCATCTGTTGCTCACCTTCTCCAAGTTCTACTGGGTGGCCTCTGTGGATGCAGCCTTTGGCCACCAGATTCATCAGCAGCACTTTTAGGCCATGTGCATACTGTATTCTCTGACACCCTTTCTCCTACAGGAGTTTAGCAGCAAAAAAAGCAGTATAAAGTCGTGTTTTTGCATGCATTCACACATTTGACGTTAATGCATTTTGTTGGCCATAATCGTAATTTTTTCCGATCATTAGAGTGCATTAACATGCAAACGTGCTTAAATGTGCATAGCATTAAGGTACATTTTGGTGCTTTTGAGCATTTTTTATGCTCAAAAGCTTCTCTCCTGAATGCAACTTTTGGTGGGGTTTTTTTCCTGCTTCTAAATGCCCTTGCCTCTAAACTTCTGTAAGTACCTATAGCGTGCATGGGCACATAAGCTAACATGGAAGGGCATTTAAAGGCAGAAAAAAAAAGCCTGTAAAAGAAGCCTTTTTGAGCTCAAGTGTGCATGACCCCTAAGTTCAGTCTTAGACCATTGTCTGTTTTGATGAGCCCATTGACACAGTTCTTTTAGCCTTGCGCTTGCCCACTCCTCCGATTCTTTGCTTGAGGATGTTTCAGGGTCTGTGAATATCCAACCTGTGTTCATCAAGGTTTATTTTGTCTGTCTGCCTCTTTTGTTTTCATAGAACTCCAAAGTTCACATCTTGGACACAGAAGCTTTTGAAATAACATTTGGTCCGAAGTCTCAACGAAAAAGGCCAAACCTTGCTGCTGGTGATATGCATGAGCTTCTTCTGAATGCTGAGGCCTCAGCAGAGAGCTATGACCAGGAGAAAGACAGAGACTTGGTTACTGAAGATACTGGAGTCAGGTATAAAACTAGAAACCAACTCAAGGTTCTTTCCTATGCTTATAAAAAAAAAAAAGGTTGTTTTGTTTGCTGTTTGCTCCCCTATTGAAGAAATTTACTCTTAGTTCCTGTCTTGGGTACCATAATCACAGGCGATTTGTATAAGGTGATTCCCACAGTGACCGGAAATTCTATCCTACAGGGCACCTCAATAAAAACTGTTCTGTGTGGCCGTGTTTTTATAAAAGGGTCGGGTAATTTTTTGCAGGTACTGCATCCTATTTATATGAATGGGCTGCTTTGCCTGTTCACACTCATTTGCACAGACCCACACCCATGTGAACCTACACAAAATGCCTATTTGTGAAATATTTTTGTTTTTATTTAGAGAGGAAGCCCGGGAAGAAATATATAAAAAGGGACAATCCAAGAGAATATGGGGTGAATTGTACAAGGTATTTAAAATATTTGCATTAACTGTGACTGACTTTTTTTTTTTTTTACGATGCTGCTTATTGTTTGCATAGCGTATATATCATGGCCCTACCCCCATCATAAAACCTATACTGTTTTGTGAAAGCAGTTTAGATAGATACAAGTTACTAACTACCATGTTTGCTGACAAGAAATAAGGGGAAGATTTTGACTCGTGGGCTGCAGCAGTCCCTTCTCCTAGTCTTCGTGTTAAAGTTGTCAGGTTGTTAAGGGCGGCCTCAGATTCCTCATTTTTGAGGGTATCACATTCTGGATTGCACAGCTGACTTGGTAAAAGTGTTTGTATTTTTAATGATTTTGTTAAAGCTGAATTTAGATTCCAAAACCTCCTTGCAGATAACCAAAGTAGCCTGGTCCATGACCTGCCTGGGATGGGCCTATGAAGGAGCACAGCACACTTGTGAAGTCATCACTCTGCTGTCTTTCTCTAAGCATTTTTGCTCTAAGAAATAAAGCCCTAATTTATCCAAGAGCACTGCCTCTCCTGATTTTACTCTGAGTGTAGGCAGCTGGTGCCAAATAGGATTCATATACCTGTGCTGGTTTTAGATAGGTACATAACTAGATGAAATGGTGTGTGTGTTTTTTTTTTTTTTTTTTTTTATCTTGACAACTTTTTTCTTTGACCACCTCAGTAGTGAACACCTTCACCCCCTCCTGCCCCACCCAATTTTCACCTTTCAGCGACTCACACTTTGACAATTACTCAGTCATGCAACACTGTACACATTAAAAAAAACACATAACTTTTTTATATATCACACAAATAGAGCTTTCTTTTGGTGGTATTTAATCACCACTGGGTTTATTTTTTGCTAAACAAACGAAAAAAGACTACATTTGACAAAAAAAATATTTTTTCCTTAGTTTTTGTTATAAATTTTTTTTTCATAAATTTTGACATACAGTATCTCACAGAAGTGAGTACACCTCTTACATTTTTGTAAATATTATATCTTTTCATGCGACAACACTGAAGAAATGACACTTTGCTACAATGTAAAGTAGTGAGTGTACATTTTGTAGAACAGAACTTGTGAGTGCACCCCTAAGTGAAAATGTCCAAATTGGGCCCAATTACTTTACTCACTTTTGTTGCCAGCGGTTTAGACATTAATGGCTGTGTGAGTTATTTTCAGGGGACAGCAAATTTACACTGTTATACAAGCTGTACACTCACTACTTTACATTGTAGCAAAGTATAATTTCTTCCGTGCTGTCTTTTGAAAAGATATAATAAAATATTTAAAAAAAATGTGAGGGGTGTACTTCTGTGAGATACTGTATTTATAGTATTACATTCTTTGGTAAAAATGACCAAATCAGTATATATTGTTTGTTCTTTGTGAAAGTTATGCAGGCCATAGACGGGTCAAACATCGGCCGATTTTTCGAATGATAAATGAAAAATCGGTCGTTCGTTCGGCCGACGTTATCACCAGCGAATAAAAAAATCGTCCGACTAAATCATAAAGTTCACCCCATAACTTCTGTCCCTTTCAGGTCACAGCTCATGCGCAGATTTTTTATTGTTAAAACAATCGTCCGATTTGGCCATCATTGCCAGGAAAATCGGCCGATCGTCCAAATCGGCCACAAATTTTACAACATAACCGATAATCTCAAAGTGCAAAATACACGAAAAACGTCCGACGAACTAATCCACTAACGGTACGAAAATCGGCCGATTTGTGTTTTTTTTTTTTTTTTTTTTTTTTTTTTTATTCTTTTGGACGAAAAATCGAGACGATTAACGACCCATCTATGGCCTGCATAAGTCTACAAGCTATGGTACGCATCATTGAAAATTGATCACACCTGATGTACTGACTGCCTATCTCATTTATTGAGGACCTAAAATGCCAGGACAGTACAAATACCCCCCCACCAATGACCCCTTTTTGGATAATAGCCCAAGGTATTTAGTAAGAGTCATGGTGCGTTTTTTGAAGTTGTAATTTCTTTTCCCCACAGTTATTTGGAAAATGAAGAAATTTAAATGCATGTTTTTTTCTTCCACAAAATGGTAATTTTAACAACTTTTTTCTCTCACACGGCATAGGCGTACTTTGCAATTACACCCCAAAACACATTCTGCTACATCTCCCAAGTAAGGGATACTACGTGTGAGATTTTTTTTTTTACAGCCTAGCTACATAGAGGGGCCCAAAATCCAAGAAGCACCTTTGGGCTTTCAAAGAGCATAAATTACGCATCTAATTTCCTGGCTACCTATCACACTTTTGAAGGTCTGGGAGCACCAGGGCAATAAGCTCACAAAATGACCACATTTTGGAAAATAATTACCCCAATGTATTTTCTATGAGACACAATGAGTCTTTTGAATATGTGTACATTTTTTGCCACAAATATTTGGAAAATGTGGAAAGAAAATGAAAACATTTTTTTTTACATAAAGATGTCAATTTGTCAGATATTTCTAAGTCAAAGCATGGACATGTAAATTTTGCTACTCCACTTGAGTCCCACATGTGAGACTTTTTCACAGCCTAGCCACATGGAGAGGCCCAAAATCCAAAGAGCACCTTCAGTCGTTATTGGGGCTTAAATTACACATCCAATTTCCTGACTACCTATTACATTGTTGGAGGCCCGATGGGGACACTGACAGATGATACTGTGTACTTGTACAGGGACAGATGGTGCTTGATACACTGGTGTGGGTTGGCTGCACTGTGATGATCCGCGTAAAGCTGCAAAGTAAAATCAGCAGCTACACACAGATTGCAGACAGTCTGCACCAATCTCTATGTCCCCCTCTTCACTGAACTTAGAGGGAGAGCTGATACAGAGGCACATGCCTCTGTTTACATTGTGTAATGGCTACGATTGGACACAGCCATCACATGATCGGGAGGGCCAGTCAGAAAACCCATATCCTGATCTGTGATGTGCTGTGTCCGAGGGACACACCCATCACAGGATCATGCTGCTGTGCAGCCATGAGTCTGAGATGACCAGTGGCCAGGTGGGAAGCAGTTAAAGATGAACTGGACTCTGGAAGCTGTGGCCACAAAATGCAGATAGAGGACAAATGACTAGTTGCCAGTATTGCTTGTAGGCTTTCTGCAGCTGATCTTTATACCAGTACTGACCTTTCATGCTTTATTCTGTACTGTGACTCTGTGTGGAGGTAGCCATCCTAGCAGAGGCAAGGCTTTGCTTCCTCATGCCATAACCTCCAGCAAGCAGAACAGTGAGTAACACAGGAGTGACATAACCAAATTTCATTTCAAATGAGACTAGGAAATCTCACACTGTAGATATACAGTTTCAAGGCTTTAGGCACCCTTACCATACTAGGAGATGCACTGCTTTTTGTAGGAGGAATTTAAGACAAAAGTACTTTGTTTAGAATACTGCTTAGACAATCAACATATTTGTTACCTATAACATACAGTAGTAAACCTTCACTTGTGGGTTCAGGTCCACTTTAAAGTTTTTTTTTGGCCTGTGGTCATACAGGACACAGGCTTTGCCACTTGAAGTAGTCAGGATCTTTAAACCATTAACTAGATGCAAAATACATTTTTAAATTCTGTATTTGAATTTTACATGTGACATTCATACAAGAATGTTTAATGAAAAACATTCTTGGCACTTGCTACGTTTATATTTGCTACAAGTTGTCACTGACTTTATATGCTCCCGATTTTAGCTTTTCTGTGTCATGCCATTTGAAGTAAAATGGATGTGGAGCTATTTAACCAGACATTGCTCGGCTGCAAACGTTAAGTAAAAATAAATAAAATTATGTTAACTACATGCAGAACTCTTTTAAAAAGAATATGAATGTATCGAGTGGATTGTATTAAAACTAATTTAAAACAAATGGAAGTTGTTTTGCTAAATTGTTCCAAAGCAAATAGTGTGCAGGGACTAATTTCAAAATGGTGTGAAAATGTTCAGCTAGAAAGTCAGACTGCCTCTTCTGGTTTTGCTGATTAACAGCAGGGTTGACATGCTCTCAGTAAGTGAGAAAAAGAGATGGGCAACACTAGAGTTGGGTAGTGTTATTCTTAGGCCTGGTAACTTAATTGCTTCTTTGTTCCTTTTTTTTAAGTGTAGTTTAGCTATAGTGATATACTAGATTTGCTATCCCATACCTACAGTGAAAAACGTAAAAATAAATATAGGAGCGTGGTTGTCATTCTGTATGTCTCTGGGCACTGTGGCTACCCAACACTTACGCCATGTTGGATAGTGTGTTTGAAAAAACTCTGGCACCATAGATCTCTACAGTATTGCTTGGGTTACAATTAGGTAATTTTCATATTGATTGTCATGTACTGGGTAGAAATGACTGATGCTGAGTAAGTTGTGTTAAAATTGTATTCTTCTTATTGCTTACAGGTAATTGATTCCTCTGATGTCGTCATACAAGTTCTGGATGCCAGAGATCCTATGGGAACCCGCTCACCTCACATTGAGACTTATATCAAAAAAGAAAAACCATGGAAGCATTTGTTGTTTGTCCTCAATAAGTGTGACTTGGTTCCTACATGGGCTACGGTAAGATCTTCATGTACTCTTCCTGCTCCCTGGTTGTAAAAAGGGATCAATCACTTAAGAATATCTGTTGTGTGGTGTGTGTGTGTTTTTTTTTTTTTTTTGAATTTTATATATATATATGTATATATATATATATATGTGTGTGTGTGTGTGTGTGTTTAAAGCAGAGTTTCGGGCATTTTTTTTTTCCTTTTAAAAACACCCCCCCCCCCCCCCCCCCGTGGTCATGGCAGCTTATGCCATGCAATTTGGAATAAGCTACTCAGCCCTCCTCTCTCACAATCAGTATTTAAGCTCCTCCTAGATAACTAGGAGGGTGCTACATATTCATACTGGATAGGGCTTGCTTGGCTGCTTTTGGAAATGTGAATTGGAGCTGGGATGGGACTTGGTGGTGGGGTGGGAGAGAGGGGCTGGTGGTATGTACATTGCATATTCTTTGCAGTATAGATTTTTTTCCATCAGTACAAGTGTTATATACGGTATGTGTATATAAAGCCACAACTTTATTTTCGGTTAATTTTGAATAGCGGTGAGGGTGTGTTTTTTTTTTTTTTTTTTTTTTTTTTTTTGTTATCTGTCTCTGCTGGGCAGATTCACCCCCTTTTATTTTTTGTCCATTGCCATTAGAATAGAAAGTGAAGAACAGGATTGGAGGGGAAATATCAAATGTGTGACCCTTGTTTTGGCTTTTGTTTTTTTAATGTTTTAAAAAAAAAATTTTTTTTTTTAACCGCTTCCACGCTCCTGTATAGCAGATATACTGCTATACAGCGGTACCTGTGCGCAAAATCACGTGTATATATACGTGATTTTGCATACTCAGGTAGGGGGGCACACGTGAGTGCCCTACCCCCGCCGCAATTGCTGCCGCCGATGTCAATCACTGGGTCAATGCCGGTGATTAGCTGCCAGCGCCCAGTGATTACAGACAATCACCGACTGGGAGGAAGACTGTTTGTAACCAAAACAGTCTCCCTCCCTGTCAGCTCGAGCTCACTACTTGGTCTGGATCAGTGTGCTTACAGTAAAGCACACCCCCGCCTCGTAGTAAAACACTCCCAGCACATAGTTAACTTTTTGATCGCCCCTCACATTAACCCTTTCCTGCCCAGTGCCATTAGTACAGTGTCAGTGTTTTTTTTTTTTTTTTTTGTTTTTTTTTTTTCTTTTAGCACTGATCACTGTATTGGTGTCACTGGGGAAAATCCCAGTATCTATACCGCCATTTGTAAATGCTATAACTTTCACATAAACCAATTTACACATATTGAGATTTTTTTCTTTAGCAAATACATTAGCTTAAATTTATGATGAAATTTTATTTTTAACTTTTTTTTTTTTTTTTTTTTTTTTTTGTACTGGACATGTTTAATAGCAAAAAGTACAAAACATTGTTTTTTTTTTTCCTCAAAATTGTCAGGCTTTTTTTGCTTATTGCGCAAAAAAAAAAAACGCACAGGTGATCAAATACCACCGCTCAATTAGTGGGAAAAAAAAGGACGTAAATTTAATTTGGGTGCAGCGTTGCATGACCGCGCAATTGTCAGAGTAACGCAGCGTCGTAACGCAAAAAATGGCCATCTCAGAAAGGGGATAAATCCTCTGGAGGGAAAGTGGTTAATATCATGATATAAACAGTTTTTAATATCACGGTGCCCAGTGTGCCATTATTTAGGGACTTCAGGTAGAAGGTATGACCAGCACACAGTCCAGGGAAACTCCTAACATTTTGTGGTCCATATAGCTGACAGACATCTGGCTTAATTAGCTATTTACTCATTCTGATGACTTGCATCGTATACCCGCTTGCTGAAATCTACTTCTTTTTCACAATGAGGTTCTGAGAATATTACATACAGAAATATGGCAGTTCCCCCCCCCCCCCCCCCTGGGAACAAAATATATTAGTACTGTTGGTCCGGAAAGCTTCTGTTTTATAATGACAATTTTTAGTCTTTCAGCCTTGTGGTTTACATAGAGATATTGTCATAAAAACCTGTAATTTCATGGTAGATGAGAATAGCTTTGCTCCAAAACGTTTTGTCTGTAAAACCTCAGAATTTGTTTGATGCGTGGCTTCCTTTTAATGTGACTGTTACTGGTTTTTTTTTTTCTTCCAAAATCCTTTTTTGGTTGGATATCTTGAATTATCTCAAAGATTGCAAGCTTTAAGTAGTACTTCCAAGCCTGTCTTTAAAATTGACCTTTTCATCCATGTATACTGAAAATACATAGCTTAGGCAGGCCATAGCAACTGGAACAGAGGACCTTGGTCTGACATCAGAAAGAATATGATAAGCTGGCACTGAGCTGTTCTGCCTTGCTTTTTTTTTTCCTGCATTCATGCACTCAGAAGTGGGTTTGCACAAAGATCTGCTTGTTTCCTCATATTTAGACTGCTTGCAGGAGACCTAAAAGTGAAGTGTTTTTTTTTTTTTACTTTATAACAAACCATCTCACATCCACACAAATGTAGCTGCCAGTGCTTGGTATTCAAATGTTAGCACCTTCCCTTCCACTTTCATCCCTCAGTGATACATCATGTGGCCAAATGTTTGTGGACACCTGACCATCACACCTAAATGAGCTTGTTGGACATCCAAGTCTAAATCATGGCCTTTAACATAGAGTTGCGCTCCCCTTCTAAGTGTTTGTGGGAATTTGTGAACCATTCTTCAAAGGATTTCTGAGGTCAGGTTCCAATGTTGGAAGCAAAGGCCTGGCTTATTGTCAGTGATCTGGTTCATCTCAAAGGTGTTCAGTAGGTCGGGGCTGTATGCTGGCCACTTGACAAAGGGCCCTTTTGCCAAAGTTTGAAAGCATACAGTTGTCTAAAAGGTTTGTATACCATAGCATTAACAGTACGGTTCACTGTAATAGCTGAATTCAATAATTTGGATAAGTATCAGTCTATTTTGCGGGGTATGATCGGGTGTCCACAAATGTATGGCCAAATAGTGTATATGCCATGTTTTCTGACCCGTCGTGTTATTTTAATTGAGAAATGAAGCGTCATGCCAATGTTTCTACCTTGAAACAGGTAGTTTGATACTTAAAGAATAATAAGGGCTCAAAGTTTTGGGGCTCCTGTGGAGTGCCGGATTATAAAGAAATCTATGTGCATGTGTATTCTGTGCGTCTAAGGGGTCCATGTTTATTAACCACTTCTAGTCCGGACACTTTCATCCCCTTCCCGTCCAGGCCAATGTTCAGCTTTCAGTGCTGTCACACTTTGGATGACAATTGTGCGGTCATGCAACACTATACCCATATAACTTTTTTAGCATTTTTTTGAGCCAGATGAAACTTTATTTTGGTGATATTTATTCACCACTGCGATTTTTTTTTTTTTTTTTTTTTTTTTTTTTTTTTTTTTTTTTTTTTTTTTTTTTCGTTTTGTTGTTTTTTTTTTTTTTTGCTATATAAATGAAAAAGTCCAAACATGTTGAAAAAAAAAAAAGTGTTTTTCTTATAAAATTTTGCAAATCTTTCTTCATAAATCTTAGCCAAAATGTATTCATCTTTTTAGTAAAAAAAAAAAAAACTCAAAATAGTTTTATAACAAAAAATTATAATTTTCCCAACAAATGTTTACATTTTTTATCTTTTTATATAATTTTTTTTTATCATGCCGTCACCCTAGCAGTACAGTGTCACCATAGTGACACAGTACTACTTGTGAGGGGGTGATGATTTTTTTTTTTTCTTTTTTTAACCATAAAGCCTGTAAAAGCAGTCATTTCTCCTTCTCTCTAGCTGCATTCTTGCAGCCATTGAGAAATACTGTGAGAGCTGTGATTGTTCACAGCTTGTCACATAGTACAAGGCTGTTGTGAATAGCCTTGTACCATGTGACCTCTGTAATCATTCACAGATTTCACACGTAGTAAGCAATGATGTCAGGAAGTGACATCTTACTACTATTCATGTGTTCACTGATTGGCCAATCAGTGGTCACATGGATCGGGACCTCACACAGAGGTCCCGTACAGCGAAACTCCAGACACAACGGGCACCGCATCGCGGTGCCGGGCACTCCCAGGGAGGCCATACAGGCCGTGAATGCGGAGTCCGTTTATAAACGGCCACCTGCTCCTGCACTGCTCCCATCCAGTAATTTATGTACATGGGCCAGACGTGAAGTGGTTAAGGAAGTGACTTCCATGACTTGTAAAATGTAAAAACGTATTTGTCTGTGTAAATTTTTCCTTACATTTGTTTTCAAATATATTTATTACACATAAGACTAACAGTTAAAATGCAGAAAGGCTGTCAACGGATGTCTGTCTTGTATTAGTATAAATTAATTGGATTGTTTTAAGAGCACAGCAGGGTTTTGACATTTAGCGGAATTTGCTTTTGCTGTGGGTAATACTCTTGTTTTACGTGAATATGGGATTAACAAACCCCAGGTTAAAGCTTTTATTAAAGAGCCACATTTTATAGATATATTTAATTTGTCTTTAGATCCCACTGCACAGGAAAATAATTGGAAATCTTAATTCATCTAGCAAGAAAAGATGTTATTGTTTCAAGTCTAAATCTGTCTAAACATGCTTTCCTTAGAAGTATAGATTCAGTCCATTTATTAGTATGTTGAACATTAAAGTGAGAGGCTCAATTCTGCCTAAAAATGTAGGGTTGTTTTTTTTCATTTAGAATTCTGAAAGCTGCCTTTGACATCTGTAATGCAGGCTTTAGGTAGAATCTTTGAAGGCTCTGGAATAGACCGTGAAATAGAAACATGTGATGAATATCTGTTCTCTTTCAGAAACGCTGGGTTGCCCAATTGTCTGAGGAGTATCCAACGCTGGCCTTTCACTCCAGCCTTACCAATCCATTTGGTAAAGGTGCTTTCATCCAGCTTCTCAGGCAGTTTGGAAAAGTAAGGCAAAGCTGAGTTTTTTCCTTCACATATACTTTTAATTAGAATATACAGTGTATTGGTATATATATTTTATGTTGAGGATGTGAGGAAAATATATATTTACTGGCAGGTGGTACACTAGGCTACTTTTGATATGTTTACCTTTCTATTTTAACTGTTCTGTTGAATGAAAAGCATATTCACATAGTTCAAGATTAAAGTGGTTGTAAAGGCTGAAGGATTTTTACCTTAGGTAAAAAACCTTTTCTGTGCAGCATTCTCGCCCCCTCTCGACCCAACACTGGAGTCTTGGCTATCTCAGGACTCCCTCTTCTCATTGGGAGAGACAGCAGCAGGAGCCATTGAATGGACACACGGAGCAGCGGCTGGGGAGTGCACATGCTCAGGTGCCCCATAGCAAGCTTCTTGCTGTGGGGGCACCAGACAGGAGGGAGGGGCCAGGAGTGCCAGTGGTGCACCCAAGAGGAGGAGAATCCAGGTTGCTTTGTGCAAAACCACTGCACGCAGCAGGTAAGTATAACTTTTTTTTTTTTTTTTAAGCCTTTAGAATCACTTTAAATTTATACATACAAGGAGGAGTACCATATGTACTCTCCAGCGCCTCAGGATGCTGAGGTTGGTCATCAGCTCTGAGGAAAGGGATTCGTCCCCGAAGCGCGTCAGATTTTTGACCGCACTGACAGTGAGAACACCTTGCCTGTCGTTGTAGCCATTGTCATTTTTCTATGCTTTTTAGATACATGCTTAGTCTGTGAGTATGTTTTTATTATTTCATTCCTACAATAAACCTTGGATAATGCACTAGGTGTGTCCACCACCTGTTTTCTCTCTTTACAAGGAGGAGTGTCTCACTGCTTCCAGTTCCTTCCTACATGCTTTATTGCAATATTTACAGTTGGTTTAAATGCTTTCCTAAACTTAAAAAGGTGTCCTAAAACCTCTATAGTTTTTCTTAGTATGATGCTTTTGGTGATACCAGATGGGAAAATGACAAATTTGCTTTGTCACCCTTCTTTCCAGTAGTGCCAATATGATTGTAATGTGCAGCTTTAAAAGGTATTGATCTAAAAGGAATATGTCTTTGACTTTATTCTTTAGCTTTAATCTGTTCCTCCAAGTGTTCTAAGTGAAAGATGAACTTACAACCCTAATTCCAAAAAAAGGTTGGGACGCCATGTAAAATCTACATAAAAACAGAAGGCAATGATTTTGCAAATCTCTTAAACCCATATATTATTCAAAACCGAAAATAGTATCAAGTGTACCATTTTATGAAAAAAATTTAATTTTAAATTGATGGCAGCAACACAAAAATACTTGGGATAGGTCTACAAAACAAAATGAACAAGGAAGAGCTTGAAGAAGATTTTGCAACTAATTGGGTTAGTTGACAACAGGTCAGTAACATGATTGGGTATAAAAAAAGCATCTTTTTTCCGAGTGTCTAGAAGTAAAGATGGGCAGAGGTTCAAGAGTCTGTGGAAAGGCATCTAAAAATTGTCATCTAAAAATTGTCGAACAATTTCAGAATAATGTTCCTCAGTGTAAAATTGCAAATATTGTAAACACATCATCTACAGTACATAATATCAAAAGATTCCAAGAATCTGAAGAAATCTCTGTGCTCAAATGATAAGGCCGAAATGTAATATCGGAAGCCTGTGATCTTCAGGTCCTCATACGGCCCTGCATTAAAAACAGGAGCATGATTCTGTAATGGACATCACTGCGGGGGGCAGGAATATTCCCAAAAATCATTGTCTGTAAACAAAGTTTACCATGCCATCCAAAAATGCAAGGTAAACCTTTATCATGCAAAGAAGCCATATCTGAATATGATCCAGAAAGCACCACTGTCTTCTCTGGGCCAAAGCTTATTTAAAATGGTCTGTTGGAAAAACCACTGTCTTCTGTGGTCAGACAAATCGAAAAATTGACATTCTTTTTTTGGCAACCATGGGTGCTGTGTCCTCTGAACTTAAGGATCTTCCAGCTTGTTATCAGAGCTCAGTTCAAAAGCCTGTATCTCTGATTATATGGGGGTGCATTAGTTTGTATGGTATGGGCAGCTTACACACCTGGAAAGGCACCATCAATGCTGAAAGATATATCCAGGTTTTAGAGCAGTATATGCTCCCATTAAAGCTACATCTTTCAGGGAGGGCCTTGCTTATTTCAGTAGGACAATGCTATACTGCATCTATGACAACAGCATGACTTCCAAGTGGAAGAATCTGGGTGCCTAATTGGCTTGCCTGCAGTCCAGACTTTTCACCAGTTGGACATTTTTTGTTTCAAGATGAGCCAAATATTTTCAAGAAGATCCAGGACTGGATAGAATCTCATATCAGGCTAGAATGGGACAACATACCTCTCCCAAAACTCCAGCAACTGGTCTCCTTAGTTCCCAGACTTTTACAGAGTCTTGTTAAAAGAAGAGGAGATAATATATTGTAGTAAACAAGGCCCTGTCCCAAATTTTTTGAGACATGATACCATCAATTTCAAAATTACCTTTTTTTTTGATAGGTTTTCTATTGTGAATAAAAAATGGGTTTATGAAATTTGCCAATCATTGCATTGTTTTTTTTCTTTTTTTTTGTTAACATCAGAAAACAATTTGAGAAAACCTACATGGTACAGGTATCATGGGAGAGAGCAGAAAATAATTGGTACATATGCCACCATAAATCAAAATCTGAAACGTGTATGATCCTATCCTGTCATTAAGCATAGTTACAATCATGGGAAGTATAACAAAAAATAATGGAGGCATGATGGGCACAGGCAGATAACTACCATCAATGTTGGCAGTGTAAATAGGAAATTATAATAATTTATATGTTCCAGAATTTGACAGCCATCTATCCCATATTGTTTATATTTGTTTGGGTAACTCCTATGTTCATATATCATTTTTTTTATATGGGAGTGTCACATTAAAAAATCTCTCACCTAAGACTGTATTGAAGTGGGCTTGTATCCAATTCCATGCCACTGTTTTTATGGCCTTGAAGAGCATTTCATGCAAGAATATAGTAAGAAATGTATCACTGTCTGAGAGTAAGCCAAGTAGGCATTGTTTAGGGTTGGGGGCAGTCAGTGAGTCCATTTCATTGCGGACCACTTGGAGCCAGTATGTCTGAATAACTTGGCATGCCCAAAGCAGATGGTAAAGAGTTTCCGGAAGCTGAGGCACACAGTGGACACATAGGATTGCGGTTAAGCTGGTATTGGCAAACTGCTGAGGTGTAAGATAGGCTTGATGTTGTATATACAATTGTGTTAACCAGTCTGATAATCTAGAGGAAGCTGTTTTTAGAAGTTTCCAGAATCTCCTCCCAATCTGTCTCCTCAATGACCCCAAGATCAGCTTCTCATTGCATTCTGCTATGTAGATTTTACACAGTGTCCCAACTTTTTTTGGAATTGGAGTTGTAGAATTAACAAGGCTGTGTGCATGCCTCTCCAGCTTATACTCTATTGGTTGTCCTCTGTGTGACTCTTGTAGTCCTTGATATAATTTTGCCACCTCCCTCATCCCCCACCCCTGTTCTCTCTCTGGTAACTGTTGTAGGTCATCAGTTGTTTCCAAGGCTAACTGAATGTCAGTCCAATGATTGGCAAGCTATGCAAAATTAGCACTTGACATGAAACACGCTGTTTGTTTTTTTTTTTTTTTTTTTTCTTTTCATAATTGCACTTTAAAAGGCAAAAGAGTGTTTGAACAATTATTACAGCATAGGTATTGGATAACTATTGTACTGCATTCTGGCAATTTTAATCCAAGCTTAATTGTTGTAATACTTACCAGAAAACAGATTATCTTCAAAGGGGAAGGCAGTTCCAGTGATTATCTGGTGACTCAGCTGTAAAATCTGCTGGCATCCCAAGCTCATTTTTATAAAGCCCCAGCCTTTCCTTGTGCCAAAAATGCAAATGGTGCTTTTCATAGCTAATCTTTTTGGAAGTTAAAGCTATACATTATATTTTTCAGTCAAAAGTTGTAGTCTTCCCTTTTTACATGGCCAGAATCTAGGTATATTATGTAATGTATTTTAGGATAAGAGCATATTGCCAATAATTTTTGACTTTTTAGTTCCATGTAATTTTGGCCTGGTTTTCAGATTTTCATTTTGTCCTGTCCTTGTCACAGCTGCACACAGACAAAAAACAAATCAGCGTCGGATTCATTGGTTATCCAAATGTAGGTAAAAGCTCTGTGATCAACACACTACGATCAAAGAAGGTCTGCAATGTAGCCCCAATTGCTGGTGAAACAAAGGTAAGCAACACTTTTTCAGTACACAGCATGTCCAAACAAATATCCTGGCAAATAGTAATTTGGGTGTGCCATGGAAACCTGTACCTCTGGCCTGTACCAAAATTAATTCAAGAGGATTGTGGTAATTGTGATTTTTGTTTTGTGTTTTAGCACTGTCAGCTATAACACTGAAAGTGGGACTCCAGGTCATAACTATCTGCTCTTAAATCTGTTCCCATCCCCCTGCTAACCCTTATTCTAACTTCCCTGTTAAAGGATGCTTTATACTTACCTATTCTCAGAGCTCTCCATTCCAGTCACCTGATCTCCCCAGTGGCCAGGAGAGAGCACCAACAGCTGAAATGCTTGGGCTGTGACATCACCCATAGACCTATTATGCAGCATCCCTTGCCAGCTGTCTCTCCCCTCCCTTCCCCAAACCCTCTGCTGGAAACTGATCACATGACTGGATCCGGGCATCCTGGGAATAGGTTAGTATAGGTATCCTCCTTCAGCAGGGTAGATCAATATTTTGTTTTGTTTGTGTTTTTTTTTGGGGGGGGGGGGGTGGGGAGATTTAAAGTATAGTTATAGCCTGGAACTCCACTTAAAGTGTTACTAAACCGAGGACCCTACTTTTACTTTATCTGGTTTCTTACAGTACACAGGACATGGAAATGTAATTATTTTCATAAATATAAACTGCTAAATACCTTTTCTTGTCAGCAGTGTGTAGCAGTCTTGTGACTTCTATCAGTGTCCAGCTGAGCAGTGGTTAATCTGGTTGGAGGAGTTTTCATTCTCTCTGGCTGTCCTATGAGGCTGCATAACCCCTGACCCTCTGTCTGGATATTGCTGATTGGCCCTGTGCTGATCACATGCACCCTCTCAAAAAAATAAAAGCAACTCTCTAACAATACACACTAAACTAAGCATGTTCAGAGTGACTCATAGAGCTCTGTACTATCAGCAGATGGATTTGGGACAGTAGAAGGGGAGGATCAGAGAAGTCAAGATCAAACAGCCTTTTTACACAATGTGGAGGATTACCCCCTTAGGTTCCACAGTAACTATAACAAGCATGCTTTACTGCATATACAGACTGATTTTACTGTTGTGGGTTTAGTAACACTTTAAAGGTTAGGGAATTACTGCGGCTGTTTGTGATGCCTGACAGGTGAAAGGTGGGCTAGTGGCCTTTATCGGTGACTGAAATGGTGCCCCAAGGGCCAGATACAAGCAAGCAAAGGGCCACATTTGGCCCCAGGGTCGCAGTTTGGAGACCACTGGCCTAAAGTATAACTAAAGGCAAAACTTTTCTTTATGGATAGCGTACAGGAGGATAAGAACGCATGTCAGCGTGCCCAATTAAGGAGATTCACCCTCTCTATTTTTCCCGTTTACTATTATCGTTGAAAGTGAAAGCAAAAGAAAATCCCAAATTTTGGGTTGTCTCCTTAAAAGTAGAGGGGAAATCTTCCAATGGGGGCACTAGTTCTGGTGACCTTGGTCCCCAAGGAATTCCCTTAATTTGCAGGGATTTTCCTCTTGCTATGGGACAGGAAGTGAAGGGAAATCTCTGCAATAGGACACAGGTGGTGAAAAAAAAACAAAATCTAACGGGTATAGCCTTCCCATACTCTATCCAAAATGAAAAACAAATTTGTCCTTTTAGTTCTACTTTAAACCCCTTTTTAAAGTGGGTCGGTTGTAAGAAGGAGGATTTTAACTAAAAGAGAAAACTGCAGCACAAGCAACAAATTGACATCCATCATCATTAATGTGCTTATTTATTTGTGTAACCTTACCATGTCACACGTGTGTGTGTGTGACATTGTAATTGCGGTCTTGCCTGATCTAGTTAACGATGATATGACTGGCAAGGATAGCTATGCTGCAAATATGTTTTATTAGTTTAAGGCTGATTGATCTTTTTCATGTAGTCCGCATCAAAGCTGTTGCACTGAACTTGGTTTATACAATATTTTTAAATAATGCCATGTATGACCTGCCTTTTATGTGATGCTTTTCTTTTTGTAGGTTTGGCAGTATATCACACTTATGCGTCGGATATTTCTAATTGATTGCCCTGGTGTAGTTTATCCATCTGGAGACTCAGAAACAGACATAGTGCTGAAAGGAGTGGTAAGTCTACCAAGCATTATCATGTGAATGCTGACAATGAGTAGGTAGATGAGTGGAGCAGGGATGTTGCCTTCATCCTCTTTGTAGCAGTATGCATGGAAAAAAAAAAAAGATTTACTTACCGAAAAAATCTATTATTAAAGGACACAGGAATTTAGAAACCGTGGGTTATACTACTGCTTTCAGGAGATGGGGACACTGGCAAACGAAAAATGCCAGCCTCTGTATAACACCTCCACTGCCTATCATCATGTCTCAGTTTTGTGAGAAAGCAGTACACAGGGTCAAAGATGAAGCATTTTCAGGAAGTACAGAAATCTTGTATCCTAATCCTACAGTACAGGAATTGTAGTCATAGACCATGGGTTATATGCCACTGCTTTCAGGTGATTGGACACTGGCAAAAGCTTTGCCTGGAATGCACCTCCGTCCCACCAATGCACTCTTGTATAACCCCACCCATTTTGCGGGACTCCCATTTTTTTTGCTAGTGTCTTTAGGCGATGAACCTCTTCTCCTCTGGGAAAGTTTGTATACCATTTATTTTTTTCACTACTTCAATTGATACTTTTAACAATCCAACCGCTTATTGCATTTGAAACTCATTGGCAGTTTATTGGTCAGTTGCCTTCAATGTACATTTAGGGCAGTGGTCTCCAAACTGTGGCTCAGGGGGCCAGATGCTGCCCTTTGCTTGCTTTTATCTGGCCCTTGGAGCACTATTTCATCCACTGACTCCAGCAATGGGGCAAAATTCCCCCCAACTGACACCAATGAAGGGGCACAATTCCTCCCAATGACACCAATGATGGGCGCAATTCCTCCCAATGACACCAATGAAGTGGAGCAATTCCTCCCAATGCCACCAATGATGGGGCACGATTCTCCAATGACACAACGATGGGGCATAGTTCTTGTCATTAGCACCAAAAATGGGGCATTGTTTACACCCATTGATACTGGAACTTTTTCTATTCTGATGTCCACAGTCCGGCCTCCCCTAAAGTTGAAGAACAGTAAATTGGCCCTTTTGTATATAAAGATTGGAGACCCCTGATTTAGGGAATTGTACCCAGGCTCCGCAACAGTGGGGCCAGCTTGTAATGTTTGCTTTGGGCACTAGATCCCGTGTTTGGTGCTCAGATTGTCAAGTAGTGCAACAACTGTAGTTAGCCTCAGGGTGCTAAACCACTCCAGGGCCATGGTTCATTTGTGGCACCCATACCCTGAAAACTCCTTCGGGGAGGTTATGCTCACCATGAACGGTAAAGTTTGGTCCCCTTTTGGGAACCTGTAACATGCATCAGGTAAGACAGGATTTCCCTGTAATTTGTAAATGTGTCCTCTTTTTAGACATTGCTCAGCACCAGTACCCCCTTTTTTGCAGACAAGCAAATGCCCTCTCATTCCACATTCATTTTGAGAGTACCCCACAAAGGACACCTCATTTAGCAATGTGTAGACAAGGTGCAGAGGAGCTGAGAAAAAGGTGCCTAACAGCACTTATGCTACAGAAGGATAACCAGCGAAATACTCAGAGTGAAAGCTCACCAGCCTTGGAGCAAGGTCCTAAAATGACATAGCTCTCTTGCTCGAATCCATTGTCATTCCTAGGGGATACAAAATAGATTTTTTTTTTTAATCCATACTGCCTGCTCGATTCATACGCTTTTGTCCATCAGCATCACCTCAAAGACAGGTGGACCTGGTGGGCAAACCTCAAACTTCAGGCACAAGGAGTGGTAATCCTAGTTCCTGCAGAGGAATGGTTCAAAGATATTATTTTTTTTTTTCTCAGTCCTATTCATGGTCCCAGACCAAATGGAGGTATATATTAGTGGACAGCCAAGATGCATCATTTCCGCACATTAACTGCTTTGCTGTGGGAGACCAACAATTTCAACTTGTAGCTCTGCCTTTCAGTCTCTCCTCTGTGCCAATAGTCTTCACAAATGAACCACATTCTTGTCTTCCAACATTTTGCAATCCAGCTTCTTCATGCTTTCGGATTGTTGATCAACTTCAAGAAGTCTGCACTCCAGCAATCCCATCACCTGGAGTATCTGAGACTAATTCAAACTCAGTAAAAGTTTCCTTCTCCAGTAAAGAAATTGCTTCCAACTCAGCCCTAGAATCCATTAAATTTTCTTTTCTGGCTCCTTGGAAGGTGGTAACGATGGATGATGACCTGTAAATCGTGGGCGGAATCTACTTTTATTTGAATTTCCTGGGCACCTGGTCCCCACAGGTGTGGGCGCTCACTATCAACATTCTGGAACTGAGAGCTATAAGACTGACCGTCTGAATCCCTATCTTACAGGGTCACCCAGTAAGGGTTCAGTTGGCCAACACCAAGGCTGTAACCTACATAAATCATTGAGGGGTTACCTGAATTCATGCAGCCATGAACAGAGAGATCCTGATTTCTCCTGGGTGGAGAACCATATTCCGACTGTCACAGCTATCTACATACTAAGAACAGAAAATTGGCAAGCTTGATTCCTGAATTGTAAACGCCTGGACTCAAGGGAGGAGTTCCTCTACCCTGAGATTTTTCTATTGTTGTTCCGGAAATGGGGAACACCAGTTGTTTACATCATGGCCTCCAGATTCAACAAGGAAATGTACAAGTTTATGACCAGGTCCAGGGATCCCCTGACTTTAGCAGCAGATGCCCGAGTGATCCATTTGGTCCCCATTTAAACTGGTGTATGCATTCCCTCAAGTAAAGCTGCTCTTTGTACACATACATACTCAGATCCCTGGCAGATTAGCCTCTTCCAAACAGGTCAGTCCTCCCCTAACAAGGCCCTTTGTTTAACCCTGCTTTTCAGTCTTTGGCTTTAATGGCATAACTGTTGAAACCCAGGTTCTAAAGGATAGGAATGTTGGTAATTCTGTCATTCCTACCTTGCTGAAAGCAATACATTTTCTACTTCTTGTAACATCTATCATCTCACTAAAATGTCTGTTTTTACTGGGGCAAGAGTAGGCACCTCAACCCTGGGAAAATTTCATCCCTCAAATCCTGGCCTTCCTCCAGTCTACTCTGGACCAGCATCTGGTGCTTAGTTCTGTAAAGGGACTGGATACTGCCCTCCAATCTATTCCAAAAGCCTTTGGCTTTACAGTCTTGTCAAGACCTTTATCTCCCTAGATTCTGAATCTGGTAGGTTCAGTTCTTCAAAGACTTCTTTTTGAACTGACATGTTACCCCATTGCAAGATTTCACCAGTGAAGTGGCCTTTTTTGGTGGTCGGACATGTCTCCGGTTGCTTGGTGGCTTTTTTTAAAGAATCTAATCTTCTCCTTAGAGATTAATTCGGTCCTGAGACCCAAACCTTTCTTCTTCCCCAGGTGGTCTCTTTTCCGTTAACCTTAAATGAGAACATTATCCTCCCTTCCTTTTTGTCCTGCCCCAATGCACGCCAAGGAGATTTCACTTTATTGGTTGAATGTGGTCAAATTGGTTACTGATTTTCTTAGTGGCAACATCTTCAGAAAAGCTGAATCCTTTCTTGCCATCCCAGAAGGACCATCCTGCTTTTTCACCATAGCTAGGTATCTCAGGCAGTTCATTTACAGGACGTATGCCCTTAAGGAAAGGATTCCTCCCTTCCCTCTGAGTCCACTCAGCCAGATCCGTTAAATGTGTTCTCGCTGCTCAAAGGTGAGCTGGCATGAGGCTGAACGCCCAGTCGCAGCTGCAGTAAATTCAAACAAAAAACCTGGGATGGCTGCACTCCTAACATAGGATCCAAAACGTCTTTATTGAAAATCCATAAGAGCAACACACATGTACAGATGTACAGACGGGAAGAGGTTAATGCTTTTCACCTGAAAATGTGCTTTGTCGAAACCTCAGATTTGGTCTGCAAAACTGCCCACCCACTCTTCTGTTCTGTTCTTTGCTAGACTCCCTGGCTTTTGCATTTGTGAGCTTTTGATACAAACTGATCCAAGCTGTCATCAGAGTGTTTCAGGTCTGTTGACTTCTTTTCCCCCTCAATTTATGGTTGGGAACATCCCATGGTCTATAAGTTCTGCACTGTACGATTTAGGGTAATGGGAATTTCTATTTAGCAGTAAATTCAATATTTTGGAATACAGTAGAAGACTCAGGTCGGTGGAGTGGTATGAAAGTGCACTGAGGGCATTCCCAGCAAAGCTTTTGCCGGTGTCCAGTCACCTGGTAGATAGCACTCCATTGGCTTCTTCCTTTGCCACAAGGGCCACAGAAAGATGTAAGAAACTGACATTTTATACCTCAGAAAATAATCAGGCTGCTATACTTCTACCGGATGGCTTTCATTTGAAAGCCAACATTCAGCTTGTGGAGTGTGTTTAAAAAAAAACAAAACACCCCATTGTCGTAAGACATAAGGTGGTTTCAGTTAATGGGGTAAAGCAGTATTAAACCCAGAAATATAAACATTTATTAAATTGCAGCTTACCAATTCTATCATGTGGTGACTGCAATAGTTTTCTTTTTTCAATTTTTTGTCTTTATATTCACCATGTGAGCAAGGCTGTCAGTCTGTTTTTCAGTTTACTTTAAAAGCCCAAGCTGTCTAGACAAAGATGGTTGAGACAAATCCTGTAAAACTGACAGGGGTGCTTACAATGGTCAGCTTTTATGCATTTATATAAAACCATTATCTCAAAGAGAGAAGCTGTTGCTGTAACTGTTTAAAAAAAAAAAAAAAAAAAGTTAGCTGGAATTCTAGTTTAATTTCTTAGTCAAGTCCATCCAAATCCAAAGTGCATCTAACACTACTCTGTCCCCAGCCTAATAATGCTGCTGGTCAGTTATCTCCATTGCTTCCCCGTCCTGAATGGAGATAGGAAGTGTCCCAGAAAGTAACAGCGTTTTACTAGCCTGATCACCAGGTGAAAATAAAGGGGGGGAAGCCTAGAAAAAAAAAAAAACTAATGCAGCCACATCTAAAGATTAGTAAGCTGTTTGGGATCTCCCTTTCCGGACCATGGTTTCTTTGTGGGACTGATTTAATTCAATTCAAACTGGTTTACCGGGCCTACTACACTCCCTATAGACTTCATAAGATGAACCCTTCCTGCTCTCCGGAGTGCTGGAGATGTGGAAGTCTCCCAGGAAAATTCTCTCGTGTGTTCTGGTTCTGTCCAGCAGTCGTCGACTTCTGGAAGGAAGTTTTGATTTTGTATAATCAAATGACCTCGGTCCCTCTGCAACTCTTCATGTCATTCTGCATACTGAGCCTAGTTGAAAGTCTGTTACCCACAATAGCTGAGCGCACTCTGGTCAGTTTGCTCTTATTTTATGCGAGAAAGGCCAAAGCTTTGCATTGGAAAAAACCCACCCCTCCATCTCTCACATTCAAGAAGCAATTCATCAATAATAGCCTACCGCTTTACAAAGATACGTACACTAATAGAGGTTGCCCTAAAAAATACAAGAGAGTATGATCGAAATGGTCTCCTGGCCCTAGCAACATCCCTAACGTCCCATTTAATTCCCATTGTCTAGTTACTCCTCTTATGTTCTGAAAATTCTCCATTTCTCCATTCTCCATTTTCTTTAGTCAACTGGGCCTCACCTTGTGTTCATCAATGTAACCCTCTGTTCTTACTGTCAAGCTTGCTTATCTACCATGTACAACTCCTGCAAGGGTACATTGTTGTGACCATTATGTTTACATTAGGCGTAACTATACGCTGTAAAACTCTCAATAACAGATATATAAAAAAAAATAAACTCCTGCCCATAGTAACTGTCACTAATGGTTCAGCCTGGGACTATACCAGAGCAGCTTCAGTATAATTAGGATCTTTTCTTTACTGGGCTAGGTAGAGCTGAGATGACATAGCTCCCAGTGCCCTAGCTCAATCCATCTTGCTCATTGAGTCTTCAGAGACAGATGGGGCTGTGCCACAAATCTGGTCCAGGAAAGTGTTCCGCAGCTGATACAGTGCACTAAGGTTTGAAAAGAACCACAATGCAGCGCTCAGTGCCCAAAGGTCACATTCCAAACTAGCCAGGCATGTTCAATCCAGCAGCATCCTGGGTATGGCCTCTACAGCTTTTGCTAAGGAAATGCTGATCAAGATAGCTGCTATGTAGAGATCAACTCAGGCAGTGGTCTACAAGCGATCTTTATTGCAGTCCCTGAGGAAAAAATACCTGTAATGTTGCACAAAATCTTAATGGAACGCTCCATGGGGGAAAAAAACAAAGTCAAAAGGCTAGCAAAAATGGCTAAACCATCTTTCTTTTTTTCTTTTTTTTTTTTTTGGTCCAACAGAGCTGAAGAAAAGGTGTCCAACCTACGACACTAGCAAAAACTGGGGCATGCTGGGTACAGGAGTGGCTATATGGGGTTTGGCTTACAACATTTTCTGTTTGCCAGTGTCCCAGCCTCTTGTAGGCATTTTATTTGACGGTTTCTGAATTTGTGTCCTTCAACAGAAAATGACGAAAGAGAACGTTTATTCCGATTGATAGCAAGACAAAAAGGGAGAAAATTACAGTTTGGTATTTTATAGAAAAAGTGGGCAGCTCCTAAAAAGTGTGTCTGGCTATTACAGTTAACAGTTCTCCAGGCCAACTCCAATGCCAAGTGATGCGGTGCCCCTCCAATCCCAGGTTAAAGACACCACTTGCTGTGAGCCCAGGGTGTCAAGGTTCTACCCTTAACCCCGGACTTCCAGGAGAATCCTGCAGAGGGTGGAATGAAATCATATGTGGTGCCACTCTCTGCAATATTTAACATTTGTCAACTCTTGCAGAAAAATTACGTTACTTGACCGGACCCAAAATCGCTGAAGAAAGGCAGTTAAGAGGTCCGTTTTACCCAATTTGATGGTCCGGTTTTACTCAAAGAGGTGGTTCAGAGGGAACTACAGGCTTTAACCACTTGCCATCCGGCCGCTGTATATAAATGGCCGAACGGTGGCAGTCCAGGGGCGGGTTGCCGTTCATAAACGGTGCCCGCCAGTTTGGACTGTGCGCGCTCCCTGGGAGCACGCAGCACTGCGATCCGGTGCCCGCTGTGTCCTCTGGACACAGTGGAACACCGATCGTCGTATGGGACCTCTGTGCGAGGTCCCGATCATGTGATCACTGATTGGCCAATCAGTGATCACATGCAGAGTAGTAAGCAAGATGTCACTTCTGACATCATTGCTTACTACGTGTGAAATCTGTGAATTATCACAGAGATCACATGGTACAAGGCTATTCACAACAGCCTTGTACCATGTGACAAGCTGTGACCAATCACAGCTCACACAGTATATCTCAATGGCTGCAAGAATGCAGCCAGAGAGAAGGAGAAATGATTGCTTTTAAACCCATAAAGGCTGTAAAAGCAATCTGTAAAAAAAAAAAAAATCTTCATCACCCCCCACAAGTAGTACAGTGTCACTATGGCACTGTAATGCTAGGGTGACAGTATGTAAAAAAAAAAAAACATAATAATAAAAATAAAAAAAAAGTAAAAAAAAATGTTTTAAATTATAATTTTTGGTTAGAAACTAATTTAGGTTATTTTTTTTTTTACTAAAAAGAAAACTGAATAAAGTTTGGCCAACATTTGATGAAATATAATTTATTTGCAAAATTTTATAAGAAAAACACTTTTTTTCAAAATTTTTGGACTTTTTCATTTCTATAGCAAAAAAAAAAAAAATCCCAGTGGTAAATAAATACCACCAAAATAAAGCTTTATCTGTCTCAAATAAATGCTAAAAAATTCATATGGGTACAGTGTTGCATGACCGCACAATTGTCATTCAAAGTGTGATCGCGCTGAAAGCTGAAAATTGGCCTGGACAAAGGGTGTGAAAGTGTCCTGACTGGAAGTGGTTAATACATGCTGGAATAGTTGATTGACTTTCAGCTGTTACTCCTGTGTTGGTTCAGAACTCTTGATTTGATTATTTGGGGGAAAAAGGTTGTTTAAGGAGTATACTTTACTATTCTTTCTGTTCGTCTCTACTTAGGTACAAGTGGAAAAGATCAAAAGCCCAGAAGATCACATAGCTGCTGTTCTTGAGAGAGCCAAACCAGAATACGTAAGCAAGACCTACAAGATAGACTCTTGGGAAAATGCTGAGGATTTCCTTGACAAACTAGCTTTTAAAACAGGGAAATTGTTGAAGGTTAGTACCAATTCCTTTCTTTTACCCAGGTTAAAAAATATTGATGGTCTACAGTGTATCACATAATACATAATCTGGCTGAAAAAAAGACAAAGGTCCGTCAACCAAGAAAAAGAAAATTATAAGCCTATACCCACAGCTGTTCCAGAGGCAGGCAAAAAACCCAGCAAAGCGTGATCCAATTTGTTCCTGCAGGGGAAAAAATTATTTCCTGATCCCCCAAGAGGCAGTCAGATATTCCCTGAATCAACTTTACTTATAAATGTTAGTAACCAGTGTATCCAAGAAAGAATCCAGGCCTTTTTTAAAGCACTGGCAAGAACCAACTCTTGAGGTAGTCTATTCCACATTTTCACAGCTCTCACTGTGAAGAAAACTTTCTGTATTTGGAGATTAAATTTCTTTTCCTCCCAGATGTACAGGGTGCCCCTTGTCCTCTGTGATGACCTCAGGGTGATTAACTCTACACTGAGTTCACTATATGACCCACTGATGTATTTATACATGTTGATCATATCCCTCCTTAATCTCCTCTTCTCAAGAGAGAATACATTCAGTTCCTCTAATCTTTCCTCATAGACGAGCTCCTCCATGCCTCTTATCAGTTTGGTTGCCCTTCTCTGTACTCTCTCCAGTTCCCCAATGTTCTTTTTGTGAATTGGTGCCCAAAATTGAACTGCATATTCCATATGAGGTGTTACTAATGATTTGTACAGGGGTAATATTATATCTCTCTCTCCTCTTTTAATACAAGAGAGAATTTTGCTTGCTTTAGAAACTACACCTTGGCATTGCATGCCATTATTAAGCTTATGATCTACCAGAACTCCCAGATCCTTCTCCACCATTGATTCCCCCAGTTGTACTCCCCCCTAGTATGTATGATTTATGAATATTCTTAGCCTCCAGACCCTATAAGTTTATAAATATATTAAAAAGTAAGGGTTCCAACACTGAACCTTGGGGTACACCACTGACAACCCTAGACCATTCAGAGTATGAATCATTACCCACTACTCTCTGAATACGATCATTTAGTCAGTTTTCTATCCATTTACATACTGATTTTTCCAAGCCTGAAGACTTTACCTTACACATTAGCCGTGAGTGGGGAACTGTGTCAAACGCTTTTGCAAAATCCAAGTATATCATGTCCACAGCCACCCCTCTGTCCAAGGTTTTGCTCACCGCCTCATAAAAAGAAGTCAGATTTGTTTGACAACTTCTGTCTTTTGCTTATTTAACTATCCAGCATCTTCCCAACTATAGAAATTAAATTAACAGGTCTATAATTACTTGGTAAAGATTTTGACCCCTTTTTAAATAAAGGCACCACATTGGCCTTACGCCAATCCAGTGGTACTATGCCAGTCATTAAAGAGTCCCTAAAAATTATGGCTTTGAAATGAGAGCTCAATTCTTTAAGGGCCTGTGGGTGTATGCCATCTGGTTCTGGTGCTTTATTCACCTTTTTATTCTGTCTATAAATATTACTGGATCATATCAATCATGAGCCAATGTGGATCATCTGGAGTGTGTCAATACCATGCCCATTATGGACAAGAGCTCCCCCATGCTCCTTTTTGTACACAGAGCTTAAGAAAAGGGCCTTCATGCTCGGACCTGACCTTTTTTGACTACTAATATATTTGAAGAATTTTATAGGGTATCTTTTGCAATCTGTCGTTCGTTTTCAATTTTTGCGGCCTTTATTTCCTTTTTGCATATTCTGCTATATTCTTTGTAATGTTTAAACAATAGAATTCCTTCATTTTTATATTTAATAAAAGCGCTTTTCTTATTATCTATAGCTTTTTTAACTGTGGCTGTAAGCCACATAGGTTTGCTTTTTAGCCTTTTAAACTTGTTGTCCTTGGGAATATATTTTGCAGTGTGTTCACATGCAGTATTTTTGAAGAACTCCCATTTCTGTGTTGTGTTCATCAATGCTAATATTCCCTCCCAGTCTGCGTCTTGGAGAGCAGCTCTCAGCCTTGGAATAGTAGCTCTCTTGAAGTTGAGTGTTTTATTTTTTTTTTCCTGTATGTGCTTGATATTTACTGTTAACAATAAATGAAATCCTGTTATGGTCGCTGCTACCCAGATGTTTTTATATGGACATTCATAATAAGCTCTGCATGGTTTGAGATTACCAGGTCCAGCAGAGCATCGTTCCTAGTTGGAGCCTCTATGAACTTTATCATAAATTGTAGGTATGCTTGCTATTTTTGTAAGCCCCTTTTATATAATTTCCAATTGCTACTTATCTGGATATTGTACGGTGAATTAGGTTGTAGCATCACTAGAGAGCCCACCTCAAATACCTGGCACCCCTGAGTGTCAAGCAAACATGTAGCGCCTTCCTGCCGCCCCAGTGCAATAATTTGTGCTAGTCATGGGGTGGGGGATTGAAAAATGTCTTGGGGGGAATGGGGGATAGAACAATGGCTTATAGCTGTCACAACTTTGAGAAAGCCAAACTTTCATATGAAGCCGGGGATACCAGCAGTTCCTAGTGGTAGGAAAGTGAGGCAGAAGCAAGATAGCTTATTTTCCCTGCTAAGTAGTGGTACATATTTTTCTAACACTATCTGTTTTATTCTTTTTTTTTTGGTTTGTTTTTTTTCTAGTAGCATGTTGCAAATAAACCCCTTGAAAATATTTTATACACATGATATTTCATCCACTTTTTTGCAGGGTGGAGAACCAGACAGACAAACTGTGTCAAAGATGGTTCTTAATGACTGGCAGAGGGGAAGAATACCATTCTTTGTGAAACCACCAAATGCTGATCCACCCCCTGAGGTAACATCTCTAATAGATGCATTGTATTGTTGTAGAAACGATTACTTGTCTTTATAAAAACAAAAATAGAACTTTAAACCTCAACTGTAGTTTATGCAAAAATTTTAAATAAACCCAGGTGGTTCAATATAAGTAATAATTATGTTACTGCTTGTTTTTATAAAGCTGCCCTTGCACAAAATGCCTATGTCCAGCAGATTTTATAAATCCACCCTGGCAGAAGACTACGAAGTTTTCAGTAGTGTGGCAAGTCAGAGCTGCAACAATCTATTCAATAAAGCTCATGCTCATTTTTTGATTACAGCACCAAAGCTGTGACAAGATCCTGTTGGACGGCTGTCCTCAAAGAGCACAGCAAACTGCTATAGCATGCTGCCGAATATTGGAGTTTGCAGCTCCAACAAACTTTACAAAAACAAACCATAAGGGCACACTCATACCAGCGCACTGCAGTAACTTGTGCATTTTGGAGTGCCATTGCAGTCCACTGGAGAAAATGATGTGTGTATGTATATGTATATATATATATATATATATATATAATGTATGTATGTGTATGTGTATATATATATGTAGGGTTAGAGACTGATGTGAATGTACAATATATATGTAAAGCGCTGCGTAAACTGACAGCGCTATATAAGTACCCGAAAAAAAAAAAAAAAAAATTATATATATATATATATATATATATATATATATATTTTTTTTTTTTTTTTTTTTTTTTTTTTTGGGTACTTATATAGCGCTGTCAGTTTACGCAGCGCTTTACATATATATTGTACATTCACATCAGTCTCTAACCCTCAAGGGGCGTACAGTCTAAGGTCCCTAACTCACATTCATACATACACATACTAGGGACAATTTAGACAGGAGCCAATTAACCAACCAGCATGTCGTTGGAGTGTGGGAGGAAACCAGAGTACCCGGAGGAAGCCCATGCAGGCACAGGGAGAACATGCAGCCTCCAGGCAGGTGGTGCCATGGTTGGGATTCGAACCAGCGAAGCTAGTACTGCCAGGCATAACTTTTAGTTCATTGTAGTACATTGGGCCACAGTGTCTTGAAAAAATATTCATATCCCTTAACATTTTCCACATTTTTCATGTTTACAACCAAAAACCAAAAGCACACCCTCCTGCTTGCCTGAGCAATGGGCAGATGTATTCCAGGAAGTAAATGCTACGTGAATCATCTGCCCTTAGTCAAGATGACCATGTCCAGAAATGCTAGGGGAAGTTTTTCAAAGTACTATCCAAGCAAAATAAAGCATGGCGACATGGTTGGGGGAGTTTGCTTTGAATATTAAAAGTTAATTAAATGGTGGTTTTTGGTTTTTGGTGCTCAGATGCAATGTAGTTCTGCTTTAATGTCTGTTACATTGCACCCTAATTTGAGTTAACAGGTGTGCATTTAAGGTACCAGAGTGGTGTCAAGGGGCCTTATGAAAATTTTAATTTGTTGCCTTGCACCACTCTGACTTGACTTCAAAAATTAAAAACTTTGTTTTAAGCTGTTAAAAAATAGCAAGTTGGCACTACAAAAATTGTAGTTTTTATTATGTGAATGATGGGCTTGGGGATAACCAGAAAATCTGAATTACCAAAACCTCTAAGTTTTTTTCTTTTTTTTTTTTTCATTTTTAAAATGGCTAACAGCTGAAATTATTATTTATTTATTTATTTATTTTTTTTAAGTGAACATTCATACCAATTAAATATGGCAAGTGAGAGCTAAATTAACAGTAGCTTAGGTACTCAAAATAACTGCATAATTATAGCTTTTTTTTTCCATGTCATTTGCTAGGCTTTGCAAACATCCCAAACCACATCAAACGAGAATGTTGTAAATGATGAGAAATGTGACGACGAAAGCTCGGTTTCAGATGCACAGGAAGCTGTACTTTCAGAAAAGAGAGAAATAAAGGAAATTGTTTCACATATGAGACAAAATTTTGGCAAGATCAATGTGGCACCTGAGTTTTCACAGGAGGACCTGGTACCTATAGAAGTAGATGGCATGTCGGATATTTCAGACCTAGATTCTACAGAGATGGGAGAGCAATCAGAAGAAGAGGAAGATCAAGTTGCTAACACTGTGCACAATGACGAAAGTACAGAGTTTACTAATCAACAGGCTGAAAAACAAAATTCAAAAACACTGTTAAAAGATTTAGATGACAGAATAGCAAAGTGCAAGAAATTCCTTGATAAAGCCAAAGCAAAACGATTCTCTGCTTTAAGGTAATATAATCGGGGAAAGGATGGTTATGCTATACTATAAAATTTACATTCATGGTAAACAGGATTAACCCTTTTACTGTTAGAATGTTTTTTCTATTTTTTGAACATTTTAAAAAAAATATTTTTTGACCTAAAGATTGGTCCAAACCCCCAAACATACAGTATTTGCTGAAAGCAGTGACCCTGGAGGATAAATTGGTAGTATTTGCAAATTTTTATGTCGCTTATTAGCATGATGATTTATCAAGTGCAAATTTTCAGCAAACAAATACACATGTTTTATACAGTATATTACCCATTTTTTTTTTTTTTCTGGTAAAATATAAAAGTTGTGCTTGAGATGAGTAAATTGATACATAACATGTCAGGCCTTAAAATTTTATATGCCTGTGAAGCTTCCAAATCTCCTACAGGTCATCAGTTTTAGAGTCGAACATAAATAATTCCTTTAGAATAACTGCCCTGACTCTGGAGTGCATAGTGATATGCAACACAGTTAATGGTTTTGTATGTAGGTGCCCCAAACATGCTCTACCTGCTAACCTGTAAGATGTGCACTCAGATACCTCACATGTTAAGGGTTTGGGTGCTTGGCCAAAGTAAGAGAAGCCAGCTTTTTCTGCAGTGTGAGCAAAGCCTAAACCTGTATGGATTGAATTATGAGAGCTGCTGTTACTGACTTGCATCCGACTTGATGGTCCGGGGCTTTCCTCATTAGGTCCCTATTCACACTTTCAAATGGAGGTGTTTGCGATTGCTCGCAGGAGACTTAGTGGGTTCCCTGCGATTTAGCGGAAGTTGGGAAGCCCCATCGAAAGCAATGGCAGTGTGTTCAGGCCTGAACATCTGCACGTAATCGCTGCACGAGAAATTACATGCAAATGGCCTGTATTAGCTGTGGGCACTGCCAGTCTCTCATTGCTTTCAATTGTGCTTCCTGGTAGCAGATAATTGCAGGGAACCCTGCTGAGTCTTCTGCAGGTACTCACAAACCTCCCCATTTCTCAATTGTTTCACCGACTGGGAAGTCATTAATCTAAAACAAGCATTTACACATCAGGTATGTATATTTAATTTTTTTTAGCCCAGAGAAAATTGGCTGGTAGATTTAAGCAATAGATCCTATCTAGTCATTTAAGGGCAATACATCCACATTCCTTTTATTAAAATGTGTAAACCCAAAACCAAAAATGCAATATATTGGAACTCGCTGTCCTTAGAGGTTGTGGCCATATTTGTTTATTTGTTCAGGCCAAGTACATTTTCTGCAGGCACAGAAGAATACTTGTTGATCATCCCAAAATTCCTGTGTCCTTGTAACTTCATGTGGACTAGACTGAACTGAAATCTCAAATGTTATCAGCCTTCCCAGTTCTCTACCACAAACGCCCTCTTCCTATCTAATGGGGATGAGGAGAACCTAGGGTGAGAATGCTGCTTTTGCATTGATACAGTACAGAGTGATTGTTCTCACCATAGTTAATAAGGTTGAATAAAGACATTTGGTCCATCCAATTCAACATCTCTTTGTACACGTTCACTCATGTCACAACCATTTTCCATATCCCTGTACATTGTGTTCGATAAGAAACACAATAGGTTTTTTTAAATTGTATTTACTCTCCCCACTGACCCAAATAACTGTTGAAGGGTGTTCCATATCCTTCTCTATCTAAGAGTAATGAACCCCTTACACCATTTAGGATTGGATGGCTTCTTTTCCAAATTCATTGTGTGGCTGCATTTCATCTTTAGAGACCTAAGATGAAATGGTTTCCTCCCAATTCTAGAGTCACCATTTAAAGATTTCTATTTTGTGATCCTATTCCCTCTTAATTGCCATTCCCTATAACTGAGATCCTCCACCCCCACCTTGTTAGCTTGGTTGCCCTTCTGTGGACTCTCTCCAGTTCAAGCACATTCTTCTTGAACATTGGTAACCAAAACTGGATCGCATACTCAAGATGTGGCTGAACCAGAGTTTTTGTAAATTGTAGAATTAGTTTAATCTCTTTTCAGTAAATACCCTTTTTATTGCTATTGCTATTAGTCTGATGGTCTTGCTGTAGCTTGGCATTGCATGCTGTCTTGCATCTGTGATCTACTAGGACCCCCAGATCATTTTTCAGCCTCGATTTCCCCCAGAGGTTCTCCCCCAAGCGAATAACTTGCATTCATATTTTTAGCTCCCAAATGCATTACTTTATTTTTTTTCAGTTTTAATCCTCATCTATCATATTGCTGCCCACCCCTTTATTTTAAATTGGTCTTCTTTTAAAGTTGCTATATTCTGCTAAGTTATTGCCCTGCTTAGTTTTGTATCATCAGCAAACACTGAGCTTTATCTGCTTATTCCAACCACTATTTCATTTATGAACAAGTTGAACAGAATTGGTCCCAGGACAGAGCCCAGGGGCACACTGCTCGCAATTCCAGACCATTAATCGCCACCCCTGCAAATAGCTTTTCTTTTCAGATACTTACAATATCATCAATGTCAAAGGACCTCTATTTGTAAAGTAAGCTTTTATGGGGTACTGTGTCAAATGCTTTTGCGAAATCTAGATATACTACATCCACAGGTGTTCCTTTATCCAAATTGCAGTTTACCTCCCCATAGAATGTAGATGGGAAGGAAATGTGTTTCTGGTATAATTATCAGATGACAAAAAAAAAACAGCCACTACATTTTAGGCTCCATTCACATATAGAAGCTTTGAATCATGGGCAGAATCTGCCCATGATTTCAAACTGCGCTGTTAAAATGTGAAATCGCTCAGCAGTGTATTCAGGTGCCATTCATTTCAGTGGCACCTGAAAACTCAGGGTGATTTTGCTGTGCGACAATCAAGCAACAAAATTGTGTGATGCCCAAAAGAAGTTCTGGAACTTCTTTTGGGCGACATGTCGCATGAGTTTGCTTGCGTAGTCCTCACGCGACAGTCACAGCAAAATCGTCCCGCGTTCTCCGTTGCCATTGAAATGGATGACACCTGAACACACTAGTAAGCGATTTCACATTTTAACAGTGAGTTTTGAAATTGCGGGCACATCTGAAGCAATTCTGCCTGTGATTCAAAATGCTTTTATGTGAACGGAGTCTTAGGACTGGCAAACTGAAATATATATATATTTTTTTTTTTGTTGTGGGGTTTAAGTACACTTTTATGTGTACGAATTTGTACTAATATGTTAGGAATTTCCCCATCTCTTCCCCTCCCCATGACACCATTTTTTTTTTTTTTTATCAATTAACATTTTTTATAAATGTCGAGGAAGAACATTTTGTTGCCTCTCAGTAATAAAGGAAAAATAAAAAAGGGGGGTTCAAAAATCAACTCGCCAGCCAGCTTGCCAACAACCAAATTAACCTGTCTTAACAGTATGCGTTAAAAAGAGGAGTTTAGCTAGCACACATTTGCAAATACATACGTAAGCCACAGAGCCACATCACGGCACCCTGATATTCTGTGGTCCTAACTCTACAAATTTGAGTCCCCATAGTAGAGGCACATGCATTTAAAGGATAGACCAAGGGCAGGTGCACATAAAGGGAGCCCACCCCTCTTAAAGGTCCAGGAGTGCAAAGAACACCCAGCATGTAGCACAATGGCAGCCAGGGTGCCCAATGCACTCACCTTAAAAACAACAGTAAAGTAATATATATATTTTTTTTTTTTGTGGGGTTTAAGTACACTTTTATGTGTGCAAATTTGTTAACATTTTTTATAAATGTCTTGAGAAAGAACATTTTGTTGCCTCAACAGATAGATGGGTATAAATCTCTAGCCTTTCTCGTCTTCATCTGTTTTTCTGTAGAATTACTTTTTATTTTAATTGACTGCATTTTCTATTATGGTATAAAACAGGCTTTGGATTTGCACAGATAGTGTTGGTGAAAATGGTTAGTTTCAGATTTTCTTGTGTTCTATGAGGGTAGACAGTGTACTGGAAATCCAAAGAGGATTTTGGAGGTATAAAATGTTATTGAAGGATTTTTGAAAAAGACCATTTATTCACTGCTTGCTTTTTTAGTTCAGGACTTGCCAGTTCTCAAATAAATAAGTAACCTTTCTCTCATTAGCACTTGTTGTGCAAGAGAATAAAACCAGCACCACATGTTGGGAAGCCTTGGGACAGGAGCCATTTGGTCTGTTTCTGGACATTGGCTAATGAATAATGAAAATTTGTATATATATATACACACATATATATATATATAAATAAAACGATACGCTGAAAGAATACGTATAATTAGGATTAGGGCCGGTTGAAAAGTAATATGCATGGAACAATAAACGAGAAAAATAACTGAAAAGTAAATTAAACTATTCGTCTTTTTATTCTCCTAAAGTGGGAGCTTTCCACAGTTTAACTTTTGCTGTTCCTGGAAACCAGCCATGCTGAATGGAACAGATGTTACTGAGGCCGAAATACCATCTTGTTGTAGAAATTAGCTTTTTTTTTTTTTTTTTTTTTTTTTGCACTACAATACAATATTTTTCATCTACATTTATCCTTGAACAAATGGAAGGGTTAACGTTTGTGACCCATCTGTAATTTTTTAGGCATATTGGCTACCTGACACAAAATGGACCATTTTAAAGTGAACCTGATATGGCCTTAAATGTTGTTGAAGAATAGGGACATTTGCATTACCGTAAGTACCTGTGTTAGTCTTCAAAGCAGCACCCCAATATGCTGGCTTTACCCAAGATCTTGAACTGTGGCCAAATAGCAGATAATCCCCTTGTTTCATGGTAATAAGCACTGGCCCCATCATTTAGCTGTCAGATTCCAGAACTTGGTCAACTTGTGCTTTGATCATGTAGGGCATATACAATGTGTTCCTTTTAGCTGCTGCCATCTTTCGGTTTCAATACTTGCTTTCCTTTTGCTGTCTCACTACTGTTCAGCTGTAGGAAATGAAGAGAAATATCTGGCACTTTTGGGTATTGAAAGCACCTGACTTGCGCCTCACCTTCTCTTTTGCATCACTGATGGTTGGTGATTTCCCACTTAAGTTACTAGCACTGTCACTTGGGCTTAGTTAAGAGTCTTAATCTATGTGTAAGGCTGGCCAATATACAGTACGTGTGTGTGTGTATGTATATGTGTGTGTGTGTGTATGTATATATATATATATATATATATATATATATATATATATATATATATATATATATATATATATATATATATATATATATATATATATACACACACATACACACACACACGCACACTGTATGTACACACGTACCTTGGTTTAGAATTGAATGCGTTCTCCGGGACGTTCCTGAAATACGGTTTGTCATAGGAATGCATTGAAAACCAATTAAACCGTTCCGGAGGTCAGAAAAAAGTTTAAAAAGTTTTAAAAAAAAAAAGTCGCTGTGACTATAGTTCAGTGCCGGTTTTTAAATGTAATTACCAGCTTTTTTTTTTTTTTTCCTTCACTATAGCTCAGAGAATCAGCTGTCCCCCCAGCTAAAAGAAAGAAAGTTTCCTTTTAGTTTGTTTCCCGAGAGAAAAAAAATAAAGTATCCTTTAGCTCCGAGGAAAGTGACAGCTAATTCTGTGAGCTATAGTGAAGAAAAAAAAAAATGGTAATTGCATTTAAAAATCTGCACTGACATACACTTCGTATTGCGGGAAAAAATTACATTAACCGAGGTGTTCGTAAATATAAATATAAATGTATATGTGTGTGTGTGTGTTCTTTTTTTTTTTTTCATTCAACCAGTGGTTTGTAATTAAGAAAATTACTTGATTCCCCCATCCGCCCCCACTCAAGATTGTATTCTGACAATGGGGAGGCTTCCCTGCAGTCAGAATACACTGATCAGCATTGCTGTTTATAGATTTATTTTTGTACAATCAGCCTGCCTATACATGGATCGAAAGTCAGCTGGTTTCTGCTGAACCAGCCAAATTTCAATACACGTATGGCCACGTTAACTTTCAAGTTACTCTTGGTGGCAAAGTTATGTGTCGGAGTCAAAGAAAATGTAAGTGGATGCTCTTGTGGAGCATGGTAGGTAAGTGAACCAATTGTTTTGCCTTACTTGAACAAAGCAGGGGTCCACTTTAGGTGGGCATCAAAGGCAGTGAACTTGACAGCTGAATGCCAGGGAGCTTAATTTCAACTTTTGCAGAAAAAGATGCTCATATAAAGCTACTGTATGATGCAATGTGCTCTAGACTAGACATGCATTGCTTTTATGCCTTACATTGGTACTTATAATCACAGTACGGTTTCAGCACTGTTATTTTAGCAACACTTCAGACTAGGTCAAGTTCACTTTAACAAAGCCTGCATACAGTTCTAGAAACACTGCAATCTTTTCTATGGGGAAAAAAAAAATCTGTGTACAAGCTTGGGTACAAGTAATATCCCTGTTTTTACAGTAAGGTTAAAATAAGTGGCAGTTTTTTAAAACCCCTAAACCAAATTGTGTTGGCACTAGGGTACATAAGTAAGGCAATACTAGGGCTGTTATACGCAAGCACCTCAAGGAATCAAGTCCTAATGTTATACTATTCAATGAAATTTCAATTACTGTTCGAGTTGATGCTATTCGAAGTCTGAAATTGCTTAATAAGAACATTATGGAAAGCAATAGTTTCTTGGTTCACTTGTATTGCAATACATGTTTAGGCTGTCTAGCTGTATCAGTGGTCCCTGGATACTCCAGGAATGCCAAATTGTCCCCAATGTATGCTATGATGCCTAGGACATTAGTCAGGACAGTCATTAGTAGTTAATGAGAGGAACCAAGTCTACTGGTGAACACATTATTTAAGACCCCCAAAGGTGTCAAATAGCAGTTGCATAGTGCTTGATTGGTGAGATTAGGGTTAGCTCTCTGACAAAGACAAGTGTTAGGGTAGGGTAACTTTATTTAATTCTTTTTTTTTTTTTTTTATCCTAGTAATGGGGGTTGGCTAGGAGCATTAACGTATATATTAGTTTGCAGAGGGTTAACTGAGAATGCTAGTTGCTACACGTAGTCAAAGGCTTTTTAACAGGAGCCTGTGCTTAGGTGAATATTTTCTGAAGATTATCTGGTTCGTGGTATGTGCCTAGGGACTTATTGTATGCTGTTGAAAGCTGTGGTTTCTTACAGTGAAGTGTGTTTCAAAAATTGTCAGTATTGTGAGGAATTTGATAGGGTTGTTGAGATTATGGGAAAAACAATAAATGTTACCAAATAGTTTATATACTTGCTTGCTTTCCAAGCATGAAATTATATATTTGTGCCCATTTACTGCAAAATGCAGTACTGATGTGTGTTTTAACTTTTTTTTTTTTTTTTTTTACTTTCAGAATTCCTAAGGATCTAAGTGAGCATTTATTTGCAAGACCCAAAATAAGGGATGAAGATGAAGAACAGCAACAAAATGAAGGTAATTTTTACACTTAATTTGGTAATCTCCTCAGGTTGCTAATAGCTGCCACCCACATTTATCATGCTCTCTAACTATTAATGCCCATTAATTACCTGGCCTTTACACTTCACTGCTTAAAGTTAATTATTTTCTGAACTGTTTCAGCCATGCAATTACCAGCTGCCATTCATCCTCCTAAAAACTGCCACAGCAGTCTTTTGTATGTTACGGTATATTTTTCATGTTGGTGAAAAAAACTACTGGAGCTCTGTACAACTCAATGAAAACCTGTTGTCCTTGTATACACATGAAACCATCACACCTGTTGTTGAATAATGCAAAAATAGCTACCGCAGACCATTGCTATGATAGGTGACCTAAACAAAATGAAAACTATGGACCAGAGCCCACTGGCACTGGTCACTGGTTGAATAACTTGACACCATCTGTTTAACTGCTCACTATAATAAAGCAGAAACCAAGGCATAGGAGGAGGTCCTTGCTATATAACGTGTTGCCAATATTAACTACCTGCCGACCGCAGATAGCCCAATGACAGCTGCACTGCGGCCGGCCAGTTCTGAGTGGACGTCATATGACGTCCTCCCAGAACGCGCTCTCCTGCGCGCCCCAGGGGGCGCGCACCCGGACACAGCTGATCACGTGATGTGGTAAAAGGCCAATCACAGCGGCCTTTTACCATGTGATCAGCGGTGTCCAATGACACGCTGATCAGAGGGTAATGCAAGTGCCGGTTCTCGGCTGCACTTTCCTCACGCTGTCAGATCGTGAGGAAAGTACTGCCGAGAACCGGCAGTTGTCAGAGCGGGGATCGGCACCGATCATCAGGGCACTGATGATCAGTGCCCTGATGATCGGTGCCCAGCAGTGCCACCCGCAAGTTCCGCCCAGCAGTGCGCCCACTAGCTCCGCCCTCCCGTGCCCAGCAGTGCACCCACCTGTGCCCAGCAGTGCACCCACCTGTGCCACTCTGCAGTGCCACCTACCTGTGCCCAGAAGTGCCACCTACATGTGCCCAGCAGTGCCCACCCACCAGTGCCACCCACCTGTGCCCACCCACCAGTGCTGCCCACCAGTGCCACCCACCAGTGCAGCCCAGCAGTGCTGCCAGTCAGTGCCACCAGTCAGTGCCCAGGGGTTGTGCCAGTCAGTGCCGCCAGTCAGTGCCCAGCAGTGATGCCAGTCAGTGCCGTCAGTACCCATCATCAGTGTCACCTATCAGTGCCGCCTATCCGTGCCACCTCATTAGTGCTGCCTATCAGTGCCGCCTATCAGTGCCCATCAGTGCTGCCTCATCAACGCACTTCAGTGAAGGAGAAAAAATACCTGTTTGAAAAATTTTATAATAGAAACAAAGAAACTTTTTTTTTTTTTTTTTTCAAATTTTTTGCATTTTTTTTTTTTAGCACAAAAAGTAAAGCGCCCAGTGGCGATTAAATACCACCAAAAGAAAGCTCTATTTGTGAGAAAAAAATGATCAAAATTTCATATGGGTACAATGTTGCATGACCGCGCAATTGTCCATCAAAGTGCGGCAGCGCTGAAAGCTGAAAATTGGCCTGGTAAATAAGGGGGTATAAGTGCCTGGTAGGCAAGTGGTTAAAGTAATACTAAATGTTAAGATTTTTTTTTTTTTTTTTTTTTAAAATAATAAACATGTTATACTTGCCTGGTCTGTGCAATGGTTTTGCACAGAATAGCCCTAATCCTCCTCTTCTTGGGTCCCCCGCCTGTACTCTCCTGGCTCTTCCTCCCAGCTGAGTGCCCGCACAGCAATGCTGCTTGCATTCTGGCACCCATGCATGCTCGCTCCTGAGCCAGCTCTGTGTGTCCATAAGATGAAAATCGCACAAGTGAATAGAGCCTTACACAGGATTTCCCTTCAGGAGTATTTCAACAAAAATTATATTTTTTGTTGCAGAGGGTGCCTGAAATAAGACTTGTATCTCAGCACAGACGTCTTGGAAAGTCGGTGAACCAATCACACAAACAGGAAATGTTCCTGTGGTGTGTTCTGTACATCATCTGTGTACAGAACACTTTTAGGTGACCATATTGCATAGCATTTTGTAGAAAATGACAGAGCTTAAGATTGAAAAGAAAAGGTAATTTTTAATTTTCAAATACAGTATGACAATTGTGGTTCTCTTGTTCTGGGAGGATGTTTATAGGCATCCTTCCAGCATATGTGCCTCATACGTGCCCCCTGGGGCGAGCAGCAGGCACACTCCTTTAGACACAGCTGATCACAAATTGTGGTAAAGGGCAAATCACTATGTCACTTTACCATGTAACATCTTGGACATGGCTCAGGCAAAGATTTTTCTTTACCAAGAAAATATTTCTTGTCAGAGTCCCAGGTCAACTAAACATCGCTTGGCTCACTTCTGCATGAGGGCTCCGGTGGCCTCCTTCAAAGCCATTCTCTTTGCTTAGTTCCACTCAAGACCTTTGCAGCTTGAAATACTTATGTCAAGCAGATCCCTTCTCTGGATTGCCCACTACTGCTGTCCAGCCAAGTAAAATCTTGGCATGGTGGATTTCCAACTCAGCCCTAGAATCCAGGAAAGCATTCTTTCTCTCCCTGGGATGCTGTAATGACATACCCAAGCGTGAGGAATTGGGAGTATATTCCACAACTCCCTGACTGTGCAGAGAACCTGGTCCCCACAGAAATCGATGCTCCCTATCAACCTTTTGGAACAGAGAGCCATAAGACTGACTCTTCTGCACAGTGACCCAAACAGCGTTCAGTCAGACAATGCCACAGCTATGGCCTGCATAAACCATCAAGAATGAAGCAAGCCTGAATATCACCTGAACAGAGCAATATTTCAACTTTCTCCACTGTACACGCCAGGAGTTCCTCAATCGCCAATGCTTAGTCTCAGGAGAGTGTTCCCTCCACCTTGAGATCTTCCTGATCCTCTGTCAGAAATGGGACCGCCAGATGTTGCCATCGTGGCTTCCCAGATTCAACAAAAAGCTGAACTGGTTAGTGGCTGGGTCCAGAGATTCCCTGGTTTTCACAGTGCATGCCCTGATGGTCCAAATTCAGATTGGTATATGCATTCCCTCCAGTGAAGGTTCTCCCTGGATTGCTCCACAAGATAGTGGATGAACAAATTCCAGTGATCCTCATCGCTTCAAATTTGCCCAGGCAAACTTGGTACACAGACTTCTGGCCTGCAAGCCTTGGCCTCTGCCAAACACGCTAGACCTCTTGTTACAGGGCCCTCTGTTCCACTCTGCATTTCAGTTACTGGCTTAAAGGGTGCGGCTATGGAAGCCCAGGTCCTAAAAGATAATTGGCATTGATGATTCTGTCATTCCCTTTTACACAGGGAGAGAAAATCGATTTCTCACAGGATTTGCCATTGCACCTGAAGGATTTACTTAGCTGGTGCAAAAATAAGCACCTCAATAGGCCCAGGAATATTCTGTTCCTTGCATCTTGGCTTTCCTCCAGTCTGGCGTGGACCAGCATCTGGCTTTTAGTACTGTACAGGGACAGGTTTCAGCCTTATCCATTCTTTTCCAGAACCTTTGGCTTCACACTCTTGTCAGGGCTTTTATACAAATAGTTGCTTATATTAATTCCCCACTCCAACCTCCAGTATCTTCATGGAACCTGAATCTGGTGCTTTCAGTTCTTCAAAAACTTCCGTTTGAGCCAATTTGGTATATCTTATTGGCAAATTTCACTGGTAAGATGGCCGTTTCTGATGGTTGTTAGTCAGGCGTCTCCTAGCTGGCAGCCCGTTCTTGCATGGAGCCTTTTTTTTGTCTTACATAAGAACAAGGTGGTCCTGAGACCCTAACTTTTCTTCCACCCCAATGTCTTCCTTTCACTGCATACAGGATATTGCTCTCTCTTCTCTATGTCCTGTTCTGCAATGTGCTGAAGAAAACCCACTTCACTGCCTAGATGTGATCAGAGTTGTTAGGGTCTACCTGTCCACAACATCTTCCTTCTAAAGACCCCAAGAAGAGACATCCCTCATCTTCCACTGTTGCTAGGTGGCTCAGGCTGCTCATTTCCTGGATTTACACCCTCAAGGAAAAGGGTTCCTCCTTTCCCTTATAGGGCCTATTCCACTGAATTGATGGGTGTTTCTTTCACTTTCCAGCATCAAACATCCATTTCACAGGTTTGCAAGACTGCCCCCTGGTCTTCTGTTCATGCTTGGAGTTTTGGTGGGGGGGGGGGTGGTGTTCAAGGTGTATGCCTGATACGTTGGGTGTTGTAGGAGGAGTTGTAGGGGGCGGTCTGGTTCCGGCACGTGCCGGTTTTTCAAGTTTTACCGGTTGGATTTGCAGGCCTCTGCTGATGTGAGCTTTAACTGTTAATCGAGCGCTTCAAACTTGGTTATCTGAGTGTTTAGGGTGTATTGACCTTTCCTTGTGTGGGCCTGTTTGCTGTGTTGTTGCCCACCCCTCCGTTTATTGTTGGAGGTTTTCCTTAGTCTGACTTGCTGTCCTGTGCCCTGTATGATTAAAATAATAGGAATATTGAATTACCAGTAAATTCTATATTTTGGAGTACAGCACAGGACACCAGTCCTTCCTCTCTGTCCTCTGCTTCTCCTTTGCTTGCTACAACAATAGAGTCTCTCAGAGTGGGTGGGGATATACAGGAATATTGCCAAAAGTATTGGGACACCTGCATTTACACGCACATAAACTTTAATGGCATCCAGTCTTCGTCCGTAGGGTACAATATTGAGTTGGCCCACCCTTTGCAGCTCTAACAGCTTCAACTCTTTTGGGAAGGCTGTCCACAAGGTTTAGGAGTGTCTATGGGAATGTTTGACTATTCTTCCAGAAGCGCATTTGTGAGGTCAGGTACTGATGTCGGATGAGAAGGCCTGGCTTACAGTCTCTGCTCTAATTCATCCCAAAGGTGTCCTGTCAGGTTGAGGTCAGGACTATGTGCAGGCCAGTCAAGTTCCTGTACCCCAAACTGGCTCATTCATGTCTTTATGGACCTTACTTTGTGCACTGGTGTGCAGTCATGTTGGAACAGGAAGGGGCCATCCCCAAACTGTTCCCACAAAGTTGGAAGCATGAAATTTGTCCAAAATGTCTTGGTATGCTGACACCTTAAGAGTTCCCTTCACTGGAACTAAGGGGCCAAGCCCAACCCCTGCAAAACAACCCCACACCATATTCCCCCCCTTCACCAAATTTTACACTTTGAAAATGCAGTCAGGCAAGTACCGTTCTCCTGGCAACTGCCAAACCTAGACATGTCCATCGGATTGCCAGACAGAAGCATGATTCATCACTCCAGAGAACACTGCTCTAGAGTCCAGTGGCGTGTTTTACACCACTGCATCCGACAATTTGCATTGCACTTGGTGATGTAAGGCTTGGATGCAGCTGCTCGTCCATGGAAACCCATTCCATGAAGCTCTCTATGCACTGTTGTGCTAATCTGAAGACCACACGAAGTTTGGAGGTCTTTGGCTATTGACTCTGCAGACAGTTGGCGACTTCTGCGCACTGTGTGCTTTAGCATGCGCTGATCCCTCTCTGTCATTTTACGTGGCCTACTACTTCATGGCTGAGTTGCTGTTGTTCCCAGTTGCTTCCACTTTGTTAAAATACCACTAGCAGTTGTCTGGAATATGTAGTAGGAAGGAAATTTCACAGATGAACTTATTGCACAGGTGTTAATCTGTCTATGGCTTGCTGCCCGCCCTATACTGTACTACACGATATGGAATTTAATGATTTTTTTTTCTTTTGTTATTTTGTAATGTTTGTTATTGTTCTGTGAGGGATTTCAAAGGATCCCAAATAAATTGTCACACTACTCACTAGCAGAGCGTAAAGCTTCACACTAATAAACAATTTTTTACAGGAAAGAGCAAACTGGGAAAGAAAAGGAAACGGTTTGAAGAGGAGGAGGAAGAGGAGAATGTAAAGTCACAGAAAAAACTAACATCAAAAGAGGTATGTATGGTCAGTAGCAATATAAGGTGGGAATTGAAGTGGTTTTGTAGATAAAACTATAAAAAAAAAAAAAAAAAAAAAAAAAAAAAAAAAATTACATTTGAAATGGGTTGAATTTATTTTTTCATTATTTTGAAAAAGACTGACAATATGATGATATGTGTTGTAACCAAGTTTAACCTTTGTACTTTGTCTTGCCACTTGAGATTCTTTTTTTTTTTTTTTTCTTCCAAAAACTATTTTATTAAGAAAAGTGGCACAATAACATATACAGGTTACATTCGGATCATGAAAAAACTCAGTAAATGCCAGTATCCCTCTGTCGGGATATACATCTGAAGCATACATAGTTTCATCACATAACAATGCTGAAAGCAAGAATAAACAAAAAACGTAATCCAAACAAAAACCGAAATGAAGAATGAAGTGAACATAACAATTGGGTATATGAATCAGCGAATTCTCGTATAGTCCCTCTAATTACAGAATGCAATGCTATACACGGTGAAAGGATGGTGATAGCAGTGGGTAGTTGGATGTCCACCCCTGGAGGTGGAAGCTGAAGAACTGTAGTTGTACCTTTTGGGTCTGCTGGTAATCGAAGTTCACCAAAACTCAGAGAAATGGGAAGGTAATGGTAAGTGTGTAGGATAGAGAGAGTGAGGGAAAAAAAAGGGGGGGGGGGGTAGGGAGGAATGGGGGTTCGGCTGCAACTGCTCCGGGTAAAATTGTTCATAATAATCAGAGTAACAGTCAGAGGTCCTGTATGTCAATCTAGGTTAGCATATGTAGTAGTCCAAGATATAAGTCAGTCCCAGCAATATCTGGGCCGTATTATTCAGTCTCAGTCAAGTAGGGTGTAAATTATATGCATGACACCTGAGATAGTTACGTATACCTAGTGGCAATCAAACTATGTATACAATAACTATCTATACAATTTAGAAATAGACTAATTCTTGGTCTGATTAAGTTAGATCTTGGATGCTAGATATAAAAAGACACTTATGTAGACACAGATTTAAGTCTGTATTGCTCTTTTTTTGTATGACTGTATTTTCTAGTCCATGTATAATCCAAAATCTAGCAAAATATGAAGGTGCATTCATGTGTTTATTCAGGGCAGGAAAAGGATCGGTAAATTTGCTTTGCTATTGGTCCTTTGCACTTTTATTTCATGGACCTACCATTTGGCTTCTCATCTGCACCTGGGTTTTTCAAAGAGATAGCCCCAGTACTAGCCTTACTGCACACTTGGAGTATTCTCATTATGGAAAACATAAACAGCCTCTTATTGAGGGAACAATCTGTGCAGTTTCTGGTGGACAATGTAACCCCGACTGTCCAAACCCTGCAGAGGTTCAGATGGCTCCTGGATTCAGATGAAGGTTCAGATGGATTTTAGAAATACAGTAGATGCTGGAACCAGGCCATTGTTTGGAGTATCTGAATCTAGACCTGGACACAGCCTAATCCAACATTTTTCCTTCCCCCAAAAGAAATCTCAAACTCTCTGCTCCCATTTCAGTAAACACCCACATCTTTGCTTTTGCATGAGATTCTTGGGGTTGATATTGGCTATATTGGAGGCAGTCCCATCTTCCCAGTTACACTTCAAAACCCTAGAACACAATATTTTATCATCAAGTCATTTCAGTCTCTGGACAGGCTGATTTGTCTGCCACTTAGGATCAGGGTGTCCCTGGCATGCTTGGTGGATCAGAAACCCAGCTCTGGGGTTGAAGTCCTACTTTTCCATGTTTTGGAAGATTCTCAGACGGATGCTGGCCTTTTTGGGAAAAGCGGAATCCTGGGCAATCTTTTGGTGCAGAGGATATGAACTTTACAGTATTTTATCCCCCAGTTAACATTCTAGAGCTTCAGGCAATTTGGATATCCCTACAGAGCTGGAACACCCTGCCGAAGGGTTATTTGATTCAGATTCAGTCAAACTATATCACGGCAGCAGTGTACATCAAGCATCAGAAAGGAGACAAGTCTTGCCACTGCAAGAGAGGTGGAATAGAACCAATCCTGGGCAGAACTTCATGTTCTGCTTTGGCTGCCATTTACATGCCAGCCATGATCAAGTGGCAGTCAGCCTTCACCTAGAGTTGTTGTTCCAGGACCTTTCACAGTTGGGGGACACTGGATGTGGACCTCCTGGCCTCCAAGTTTAACAAAAAACTGGACAGATTTGTCTCCATGTACAGACATCTTCTAGTGGAAACAGTCAATGTTCTACAGGATTGGTACCCTTATCTACAATTTTTTTCCTTCACTGAAAACTTCATCCTTGTTGTCTTCACAGGATAGAGGTGGCGAGTGTTCCCTTGATTGTCATAGCTCCGGAGACAGATGTGGTACTCTGATTTGATAAGACTCCTGGTGGATGCTCTGTGGGCTCTTTGGATCATCTAGATCTCCTGTCTTATGAACCATTTTACTATCTTGCTTCACGGTCACTGATTTTAATTACATTGCTCTTGAAGCTCCGTTTCTGAGAGACATGGGTATCTCTAAATTGGTTACACTCACTCTGCTAAAAGATGGGTAGTCTACTTCTTGCAAGGTCTTGCACTGAACACGGAAAGCATACTTTGCTTGATGTGAGGCTTTTCTGTTCACTTTGGCAGTGAACTGTCTGTCAACATCCTTGCACTAAGTGCATAAAATTGTCCTTACATCAGTCCTAATGATGACACAGGACCTTAGACCATCTAAATGTAGGTGAGATAAGGCTGCTAGGATTGGCTTAGCAGCGTGGAGGAGTCTTCAAAGGATCAGGTAAGTAAAACCGATGTAGCTGGTCCCCTAGACCTAAACTAGCAGTTAACCCTTGCAGTGCGGTGGAATTCCCACTGCAAGATTGGACTTCTAATTTTCCCTGAGTTCAGCAAAGGATCAGGTCTCTGTTCTTGCTGTCTTCTTTTAGAGACCATTGGCTTCCCATTCCTTGACTTAGACTGTTGTTCAGGGTGTCCTCCATGTGGCTGTCCCTGTTTGTTTTCCTGTCACTCTGTGGAACCTGAGTTTGGTTCTCTCTGCACTTCAGAAACCACCCTTTGAACCCACCAGAGATATTCCTCTCCCGACTCTCATAAGGCAATGTTTCCTGTAGCCATCATCTCTGTGAAGTGAGTGTAGGAGCTAGTGACCTTCTGTTCAGAACTCTTTTTTTGTCTTGCACAAGGAGAAGGTGATGGTGAAGCCCAGGACTTTCTTCCCATCTAAAGTCATTTTTGATCTATTGCCTCAATCAGGATATGATTAATCCATCACTAGTTCTAGTTCCAGTCTGGATGCTCAGGCTGTGAGCTTCATGTCTTGGCCACTGCATCATTGGAAAGTCTGACTCATGTCGTAGTTCCAGATGGCACCCATAAAGGTGAGCCAGCTTCTTGTTCCACCATTTCTTGGTGGCTCAGACAGATCACAGATGTTCTTAAGAGAAGGGTTCCCCCTGTCAAAGTACACTCTACTAGTTATGTGAGTGCCTCTTGGGCTCTTTGGAACAGAGGCTACTGCTTCCAAGATTTTCAAGGCTGCCTCCTGGTCTTTTGTCCATAGTTGTTCCAACAAGTTCTACCAGGTGGATGTTCAGGCCTCATCTTATGCCAGTTTTGGGCATGAGCTCATTCAGGCAGCCTTTTGAGCTGCAGACTGTTTTGTTTTGGGGATTGTTGCCCACCACTCAGTTGGACCACTTTTTCATATTTTGACTTAAAGTTCCATTTTTACTGTCAGGATGTCCAAAAGGGCAAACGGGCAGGAATTTTAATGCAGAAGAGACATGCTTTGTCTCTTCTACATTAAAGTTAGCTAACTGCCTGTGCAGCTCACTGTAAAATTTGGCACTGCAGAATTTGTCTGAACTCCTGTGTATGAGTGGGAGTGAAGCCATGCACGCCTGGCCAATTACAGTGGCCACCGGCTGCTCGAAGATGTCAGCGACCACATGGGGAGATCTGAGACGCCGCATTCAAGGTAAGTATAGTTCCACTTTAATGACTTCCTGTGGTCCTCAATTGATCAAGAAAAGGATTTTATGCAGAGTTTAAAAATGCTGTTTTCTTTGAGTCCAGTGAGGGACATAGGTCCTTCTCCTCTGATACGATCAATTTCTTGATACTGCTTTGCTACAAACTGCAGCATACTGGGAGTGGAAGGTGTTCTCTGAGCTGGCCTACAATTTTTTTTTCTTTGCCAGGGTCCAATATTCCTGTAGGTGTCAGTTCACCAAAATCCTATTTTTCAGATCACCTGATGCTACTTTAGCATACTTTCACTGATCATTATGGATTTCTACTTGTCCCTGAATCCCCAAAAATAGCAATATAATGGGTTACCTTTTACAAAAGGTCAGACCAATTTCAAGTATCTTGGTTCTGCTTCTATCCTGTTTTGTTGTGGACAAGCTGCTGTACCTTGGGCAGAATAAGTGGCATTTTCACAACAAGACAGAATATAAACCAAATTAGACAAGTAGGCCTTAATGCTTTAAAATTACACTTTTCGGCAACAGAATCAACCCTCAAGGCATTTTACCGTACGCTTTTTTTATGCTGATGTTTTGTTTGTTTTTTTTTTAAATAGAGGAGGCGCATAGAGAGGCAACAGCATTCAAAAAAAGTGGGGGTGCGGTACTACGACACTCACAATGTCAAAAACAAGAATCGCAACAAAAAGGTGGACTCTCAATCCCAAGGTGTCAGAAAGAAGAAATCAAAGCAGAAACATTGATTATTGTTTCATTATTAAATGCTCTAGTTTTACAAACTGTGCCTTTTTATTTTTCTTTTGAAATTTGTATGCAAAAATATTTCAAGCTGATTCTGTTAGAGAGAAAATATTTTCTAGATCCCCTAGTGCACAAATTGATACTGAAGGAACACCATGCTTTACTTTTGTGTGTGCTGGGGTCATGGAAAATACAACGAGGCTGGGTTTTGATATCTAATATTTCACATTTCAGCCTTTATCCATTATGGTATCATGGGGGGGAGAAATGTCAGGTGAAGTCTGCTCATTGGAGGAGAGCGGGCTGAGTCACCAGCACGGCTAGAGAATGGCCTGTGTTCTCATGCTTGGTGTGGTCACTTTTTAATAGGAAAGCAGAGAGCCTAGCGGCAACACCAGAGATTTCACACAAAGAAAGCAATACAAAAAGAACAGGATACTTTTTCATCCAAGTACATGGTACAGCAAGCACATATCAGCAATATGTTGTTGGGTTTATATATTTTTTTTTAATGCAGTACCACAGTGGACAAAACCTAAAAGGACTATAGAAATGGATTGCACTTGGCAGCAGTTGCCATATTAAGGAAGTTAGGTATTTATACTTGGGTTGGCACCACAGAGTGCCGTTTTGTTTTTATGTAGCCTCCTATTGTACCTGTTTGGTACAATAATGGTAATAATAAATAAATAATATGAGTACCATCATCCCTTTTACATTTGTTGATGATAAACTTTTTTTATTTTATATAGCACCTTTTAAAGGTAGCTTCTTAAAGTGTTTATAAAGACAAGAGAAACAAAAACAGAAGTACACAGGATAAAACAAAAGAAAAAAAGGGGACAATTATGCGAAAGCTTGTCTAAAGAAAAATATTTTTAGATTTAATTTGATTGAATTCAAAGATGATGATTCTCTAATGTTCTTTGGAAGTGAAATTGAGTTTTGGAGAATAACAGAAGGTTCTGTCCCTCATCAAGTACTTGTGCATGGGGCGGGGACACACAGCAGACCAGAATTTGAGGAGCAGAGGTAATGGGGGGGGGGAAAGAGCAAGTTGATGAAAGTTCAGACAGATCATGGGGTGCCAAGCCATTAGGATCCTCGTGCTCACCTATAAGGCTTTTAAACGCTATGCAAAACCTGACTGGTAGCCAGTGCAAGGACTCCAGGATTCTGGCTGCAGATTTTTCTACATATGTAGTCAATTAATAGTGGATTTAGGTACACCAGCAAATAGAGCACTGCAGTAGTCAAGTCTGGAGAACAAAAATATATGGTTCAGCTACAGTGTATGAGAATTGGGGGGGGGGGGGGGGAGATGGTCTGACAACTTTTTGTACATGTCTTTCAAACGTTAAACAAATATCACGTCCAGATTTTACAATTTAGACTGAAGCTCAAGTATGGTGTCATTTATAGATATGCTACCGGGACTAGCCTTACATAATTGATGTGGGGGGGGGGGGGGGGTGCCAATAAGCATGACTTCAGTCTCGTCACAGGTTAATTTAAGGAAATTGTGAGCTATCCATGTTTTTATATCACAAATGCAGTTGGGTAGGAGAGACGCAGCCAAAGTAGAGCCAGGTTTAGTGTGGATGCATATATGAGTGTCATCAGCATAGAAGTGATAATTAAGCCTGTGTGATCTAAGCAGCTTGCCTAGAGGGAAAATGTTAAAAAGTAAGGGACCCAAGATTGAGCCCTGAGGAACACCAAACTTGGCTGGACCAACTTCAGACTGGAATTCGTCAAGAGAAACAAAGTGACAGTGATCAGTAATACATGACTTAATCCATTTCAGAGCCAATTCTGAGACTCCAAATATGGTTTCAAGGTGAGAGAGTAAAAAAAATTGTAGACTACAGTATCAAATGCAGGAATAGGAAGTTAACAGATGGACGTTAGTGACTGACCAAAGCGGTTTTTGTGCTGTGCAGTTGCCTCAAACCAGATTGGAGGGGTTCAAATAAGTTAGGTGGTTATGTGACTGAGATGTCACAGCCCACTTGAGGATTTTGGCAAGAGAAGTTAGATATAGGGTGAAAGTTGTTAAAATTGTCCAGAGCCATGTTGGGTCTTTTTTGTACTGGGGTGATAGTGGCACCTTTTGAGGATCATTGGTACAAAACTTGTGCTAAGGGAGTAATTTATTATGAGAATAATGGGGCATAGAGAACTAAAACATGATTTAAATAAATGGGTAGGAATAGGATCAAGTATGCTGCTGGAAGATTTCATATTAGAGACCAGTTTAATCAGAGACTAAAGTCAAGTAGAAGGAAGAAGAGAGAATAGAACCAGTAAAACTGGGTGGTCTAGGAAGTGATGTGGCAGAAATGTGTGGTGTAAGGATTTGATGCCTTATTTTGTCAGTTTTCAAGAGAAAAAAATAATGTGTTTACAGAGCTGTTTTGAGGCTGCAGATGGGGTGGGACAGTAAAGTTTTAATCTATCAATCGTGCAGAAGAGTTGGTCTGTGGTTGTTAGGATTGTATTCCAATGCATGGGAAAACGTTTGATCTAGCAGTCTGTTTGACCCTTATAATCTCACCAATAGACCTTCCAAACCTGATAATGAATATTCAGGCCAGAACGGTGCCACCTACGCTCAAGTCTCTGCAGGACTACCTTCACTGATCACAGTTGGTCTTTATACCACAGAGCTGGATGGTAAAATTTGAGTCTTGAATTGAGCAAAGGTGTCAAGGGAAGATGAAAGTGCATGATTAAGGGCATCTTTGTCATCAATGGTGTCAGAAAAGAGATGTTGGACTGGAAGTAACAGAATTTGCAAATTTGGGCTGATCAATAGAAGCCCAGTTGTGATAGTTTACAGATCGAGACAAGGTGTTAGAAACCGCTAATTCCAGCCTGAAAGGAATAGCTGGGTGGACAAACAGTCCTAATGCCTAGTACACATGAGAAAATCAAACGCAGGAGAAAAAAACACTTTTGTAGTGATCGGCCAATAATCTGTTCATCAGTGCACAGCTTTCGAGAGACTATCACTGAAAGGGTATAGTGTCACAATCACAACTGTTCAGACATAACACAAATATGCGGCCCCACAGAACTGGACTTTTTTCTGTGGGGACGCATATTTTGCATACCTCACTTTGTGCTGGAAGCATGCTCTCAGCACAAAGACCGGGGTGTTCCTGAGAGCCCTGGGTCCCGGTCTAACGATCGGGACCTGAGACTCCCGATTCTGGGTCACATGATCGCTGTGAAAGCTTCTGATTGGCTATCACAGTGAAGCCCGCTGCCTTGTTTTTTTCTTCTCTCTCTGAATGGAGGGGAGAGATACATTGTATTTCTCTCTCTCTCCTTGCAGAGAGGAAAAAAAAAAAAAACTGGTTCTAAATGTGCACTATGTGCAGGCCAGTCAAGTTCCTCCACCCCAAACTCGCTCATCCATGTCTTTATGGACCTTGCTTTGTGCACTGGTGCACAGTCATGCTGGAACAGGAAGTGGTTATCCCCAAACTGTTCCCACAAAGTTGGGAGCATGAAATTGTCCAAAATGTCTTTGTATGCTGACACCTTAAGAGTTCCCTTCACTGGAACTAAGGGGCCAAGCCCACCCCCTGAAAAACCACCCCAGACCATAATCCCACCTCCACCAAACTTTACACTTGGCACAATGCAGTCAGGCAAGGACTGTTCTCCTGGCAACCGCCAAACCCAAACAGATCTGTTGGATTGCCAGACAGAGAAGCGTGATTCGTTACTCCAGAAAACACGTCTCTACTGCTCTAGAGTCTAGTGGTGGCTTTACACCACTGTATCCGATGCATTGCATTGCACTTGGTGATGTAAGGCTTGGATGCAGCTGCTCTGCCATGGAAACCCATTCCATGATGCTCTCTACACACTGTTGTGCTAATCTGAAGGCCACACGAAGTTTGAAGGTCTTTAGCTACTGATTCAGAATGGATTCAAGGCACGTCACTGAAAGTAGACTTTTTGAGGTCGGCACCAGTGTGGCATGGTCTTGCATAGGTACTTGATGGGAGGAGATGGCATTCTGTGCCACAATGCATTTATCTCTATGGTTGTAAAAATCCCAATATTCCGGCAGAGATTTGCACCTTTAGCCAAGAGAAATAATTCTGTTTTAGTTGCAGTGCAGTGTACCTGCTCAGCATGACTGAGGGATCCGAGTACAGTAGAGGAAAAAAATGTCTAGTTATTTGCAGTGCAAGGAAAGAGGTCCAGTGACCCAGGAAAGATTCAGAGGTAAGGCAGAAGCAAGCTGGGGCAGATTGTGAAATGGAGTAGTTACTTATAGAGAAACAATCACAGAAATCGGAGAACTCAATCTAGGGAGTCTAAAAATCTGATAAATTATTCTTTGTAATCAGAATTTAAATTTAAGAATTTGAAATCCGAATATAAGAAAAAGTTTGAAAAAAATTGTAATTAGTGTGATCGCGCCAGTGTACCCTCCACAACCAGGAGGAAAGCTGTTGATACAATTAGTGGGACTAGTGTGGTTCCCCAAATGGTCCAACAACATCAACAAGCTAATAGTATACCATTTATTAAATATCTTAAAAAATAGAACATTATTGCTTCTTGCATAAAAATAAGGCATATGCAAAGTATATCAGAATACATAATTTACAACTACGCTTTCGAATCCCCATTAGCAATAACAATTTAAATGTTTTATTGTTTATCGGGGCAGGTGTTTCTCTATGCATTTTGCCTGATCGGCAGCTGGTTCAGCTTCTCACCGCGTGGCTGAGAGCCAGAGCCAGCCCTTCCTGTCTGCTCCCAAGCCTGGCACTCCAGCAAGCAATGGAGGGACAAAGCAAAGAGTGGTGACAGTAGTCATAGCACTTTGCTCAGAGCTGACTGAGAACTGAGTGATCAGTGATTGCTCAGTTCTTAGTCTTAGAGACAGTAGGGGACAGCTGTAGCATTGGACTGATGCTGCAGCATAGAGGGGAGTATGAAGGTTTATTCTTAACCCCAAACTTCTCCTTTAATC